ACAACCTCTGATAATAGCTACTTTACAAGCACACATATTCAGGATGTTACTTTTCAGTTGCCCCCCAAGTGATGTTTTGCAGTTAATCATTCTTTCTCTTCCCCTATCTCATTCTGCTTGGGGTATTCAGTCAGCTCCTGTAGCTGAGGCATCAGGTTTTTCCATTCATCTGTCCAGCTCATGGCAAGGCTTCACAAACTTTGCAGGCAGTCGCCATGGACCTGTAGGCAGGAGGACACAAGTATACCCCCTCCCCCAGGTTATCAGTTCTTGAGAAGTAGATAAGTTAGACAGGTTAAATGCAGCATCATTACTCTCTCTCTCTCCCCCCCCCTTTTTTTTTTTTTTTAGTCCCTGCAAAAGCCGTCCTGCTAGGCAGCAACTATAGCGGCCTGCCTGCTTCAGCAGCAACCATAAATACCCGCCGGCAACTGCACCTTTATGTTAACCCTTTCATGCCCAAAATGTTAAACAGCTACCCGTTGAAAGCTTTTACATGAACCCAACAACAAGAAAAATACACAGAACACCGTCTGCCCTCAGCACACACACACACACGCGTATGGGATCCCACAAGCACACGTCTCACAACTACAACATTTGAAGCACAAAATCCAGACAATCATTACTCCCACTACAGTTCCACGTACAGAACGTGGCACAAGGACCCTGTGGAGACTAATAGCAAACCAGCTCCGAGAAGCATCATTGCAGTGAGAGGTGGCAGGCTCAACCTTAGCGGGCGTCCCCGCAGAGGCTCTGTCTCCCCCACATTGTATGAGGCTTGGGCTTTCATACTGACCAAAATGCAAACTCATTCCGACACAGGTGGCCAGCCTGTGCTGGAAGAAGTGGCCAGCAGTATCTACAAAGGTCTCCAAGGGTTGATAGAAACCTGGACATACTTGTATTTACCAACTTCTAGTACATGAGTATCACAGAGAAACTGTATGGGCTCCCCCTGTCAATTGCAAGAAAAATCACAACATATACAGCTTGAGTATAAGAAGATTTTAACGCATACGCGGTCACTGCTTGTCAGGCCTCCTTAACTATTTTGAGATCAAGAGCTTCCCATTCTTTAGCCCCCTGCTGTGTAGTAAACACAGGATATGCAGAGATGCCCATTGCAGAAAATTCACCAGTAATGATAGCATCTTTGGTTAACCATTGTTACAGCTGAGCGTCTCCAGGGCCAGTGAGTCTGAGCAGACCGACCCGGGAGACGAAGAGTCAGAGTCTGGAAGAAGAGGATATAAATCTGGCTCAGATTCAGGGGATTCGGGGTCTGATCCTGGGCCGAACTCAGCGTCTCTCTTGCTCGCAGCTGTGTCTTTCCTGTCAGATGTCTCTCGTTCGGTATGTAGCCGTCTGCAGACCTGGCTCCTCTGTAACTGAGTTAAAAATTTCCACTCAAGGGCGTAGTGGGTTGGAAAGGCTCGCAGTTCCTTTAAATCTCCTGCTAGCGCATGATCTCTATTTTCTACTGCGTGCTTCAAAATGGAGCCCCAATCGATCCGGCGCCAAGGCACTACCCTCTTCCTTTCAGCTTCCTCGACATTCATCATGCGTATCCCTTCTAATATACTTTCTCTGTCCTTTTCAAAGTCCCTACTTTCGGAACTGGGGTGGTGGGGGAGCAGGGGGTTATACCTCCTCCGCGGCACCTTCTGATGAAGAAGGAGGGGGAGAAAAGGGGGGGGGGGGGAAACCCTGTGCTCCCACGAGTTGGGGGAAACGAGTTGTAATCTTCCCCCAGTTTCAACCGACCGGGGACGTCTGTTCCTATTTTCTCCGTTGCTACTGCGGCAGTTTTCTTTTCCGCCTTGTATCTTTTTATACAGTATATTACTTCTCTCCGTGGTTTACTGAGTTTCTTTGCCGTTTTATCATCATTTAGCATTGAGTCAAATAGTTCATCACCAAACTTTACCCACTCACTCTCCTCAAAAACTGTATTAGGATCTACAAAAAATCCCTTAGCCTTCCCTACAGCCACTAGACCTACTAGCTGCTTTAGAGTCTCAGGCTCAATTCCCCGCTTTTATAAAAAGCACTGTAATAAGTCCAGGGCTACCTCTCGGTCCATTTTCATGGCCGGCCTTTTCCGGATCGTCTTCTTCTGGATCGTCCTGTAACCTCAGTCTCCGGATCGGCCTCCCGACGCAGCAGTGTCTGGTTCGCCCCAGCGGCGGATTCCTTTCAGCTAGTCCAAGCACCCGGATCCGTCACACCACCGCAGCAGCATTGCCCGCGCTCCCCGGCCGCTGCCGCCGGCACCGCTCACTCGCCGTTATGGGTCCCTGATACTCAGGGCCCTGTAATCCGGGTCCCCACTAACCGGGGCCCTGTAATCCGGGTCCCCGCTAACCAGGGCCCTGTATTCTGGGTCCCCGTTAACCGGGGCCCTGTATTTTGGGTCCCCGCTAACCGGGGCCCTGTATTCCAGGTCCCCGTTAACCGGGGCCCTGTAATCCGAGTCCCCGTAATTCGGGTCCCCAGTAGCCGGGGCCCTGTAGTCCATGGTCCCTGTTCAGGCACCATTTGTAAGCGGCGAGGAGAAGCAAGACAGGCCAACCCAATATGGGTGATCAGCAAACTTCTACTTTATTTGTGGCGCACTTCGCTTAAATCCACGTGGTGTTTAGCCACGCCTACTAGTCAGAACAGTATTGGTTAGTTCTGCACAGCTTCCTTCACATTCTTCTCCCACATCCAGTATCCGGTTACCTGTGAGGCCTACACCTTGCTTTGCTCGTACAAGGCCTCTAAGGATCCATGGCCTTGCTCTTGGAGCCATTCTGCAACATGAAACGTGTGCTGCAACTAAGCAAGCCAAGCGACTAATGTCTCTTTGGTATGGAGGACGATGGTTGAAGTATAAATATGGGGAGGCCTGGCAGATTGACTATATCACACTGCCACCAACCCGCCAAGGCAAGCGCCATGTGCTTACCATGGTGGAAGCAACCACTGGATGGCTGGAAACATACGCCGTGCCCCATGCCACTGCCGGGAACACTATCCTGGGCCTTGAGAAACAGATTTTGTGGCGACACGGCACCCCAGAGAGAATTGAGTCAGACAATGGGACTCATTTCCGGAATAACCTTATAGATATTTGGGCCAAAGAGCATGGCATTGAGTGGGTATATCACATCCCCTACCATGCACCAGCCTCTGGGAAAATCGAACGGTACAATGGGCTGTTAAAAACTACACTGAGAGCAACGGGTGGGGGAACTTTCAAGCATTGGGATACACACTTACCAAAGGCCACCTGGTTGGATCTGCCAACAGGGCTGGCCCAGCCCAGTCAGAACTTTTATATACTGTAGAAGGGGATAAAGTTCCTGTGGTGCACATAAAGAATTTGCTGGGGAAGACAGTCTGGGTTGTTCCTGCTTCAGGTAAAGGCAAACCCACTCGTGGGATTGCTTTTGCTCAGTGACCTGGATATACTTGGTGGGTAACTCGGGAAGATGGCGAAGTCCGATATGTACCTCAAGGGGTTAGATTTTAGGGGAAAACAGCCAATGAACCCAATTATATGCTATTGCCTGCTATGTAGCCCTTTTATAGCCCACCAACTAGATGTCTTCAGGTCACCGGCAACTGGCCTTGACTTCCCTCTGATCATCATCCCAACAAAGAATGACTAAACCAGACCAGCTCAGCAGTGACCAGACGGGTTCCACAGTGTCATCAGCATGCAACAATCCAACACTGAATACCATCTCTCCTGCTCTGAAAGACTGTTAGAAGAGATGAAACACAACATCATGGACTGGGTGAATTCAGAAGCCTTATAGGGATTGGTCTATGGACTAAGGAGCAATACCTCTCTCTCTCTTTGTGTGTGCGTGTATGTGTATGTATATACACATATGAGACAAAAGCGATAGTATATTGAAAAATGTGGGATCTGAGCATGATGTGAATGGTATGGAATAAGAGGTGGATACTGTCCTGGGTTCAGCAGTAGCAGTCATTTTTCTCCTTAGTAGCTGGTGCAGTGCTGCGCTTTTGTCTTTCAGCCTGGGAACAGCGCTGATAACACCAATTATTTTAGTTGCTGCTAAGTCACGTTTAGTCTGACCAAAGACTTTCTGAGTCTCATGCTTTGCCAGGGAGGAGGGGAAGCCGGGAGGAAGCAGAGACAGGACACCTGACCCAAACTGACCAAAGAGGTATTCCATGCCACAGCATGTCATGTTCAGGATTTAAAACTGGGGGCAGTTACCCAGAAGGGCTAGATCACTGCTCAGGTCGGACTGGCTATCTGTCAGCAGGTGGTGAGCGGTTGTATTCTCTTCCCTTGTTATTTCCCTTATCATTATTATTATTGGTGGTAGCAATAATGATTTTGTGTGACACCTTAGTTGCTGGACTGTTCTTATCTCAACCTGTGGGATTTATAATCTTTCGATTCTCCTCCCCATCTCTCCAGGAGCTTAGGGAGGAAGAAGTGTGGGGGGAGTGAGCGAGCGGCTGCATGGTTCTGAGTTACCTATTGGGCTTAAGCAGCAACAGTTATTCATTAGATTTGGATGCAATTTACTGCACTAGACTAGTGAAGAACCAGCCGGCTTGTACTGAATAGAAGTATTTGTATAGCTGCAGTAGCTGCTTCACACTGACTTATATATTCTGTATTTCTGAAAATGTAGGTCTTGGAGGAAAGGAGGCGCTCCACTGCCAACTTGATATCTCAGGGAGAATGCAGCAATCCTTGCCTTCGAAGGGCTGACAAATCAGTCGAAAATTTATGGGAAAGAATTAGAAGACAAACCAACGCAAATGATGTCATAGTAGATCCTTCGTCAGAGTAAACAGTACTTAGCAACAACTAAAAACATCAGTGTTATCAGCGTTGTTCCCAGGCTGAAAGTCGAAACCACAACACTGCACCAGCTACCAAGAAGGAGAAAAATGGCTGCTACTGCTGAGCCCAGGACAGTACCTACCAGAGACTGTTTGATCAGGAAGATGAAGTCTACAAAGTCTTCTTTAGGCAACTGGAGGAGGAAGCCTCATGGTTGCTGGCCCCTGCCTTCAGGGAACCACCTGACACATGCTCGAAAGACAACATTGTTTGGTACAATATTGCAAAATGAGTGGTTTAGGGTCGCTTAAAGAATGACCAGCAAAGGTATAAGGAACAGCAGTTTTAATATGATTTATAAAGGCATGACTTAACAGAATTTGATGGCAGGTTCACTCTATTACTGATTACATAGATGAAGTATACAAAGGAAAATCAAGGTAAAATCGAGCTAAAGGTGATTGATACAGACACTGAAGGCAGTAAGGGCAAGTGGGACCCTCCCACTGAATCATGAGATTCAGATCGGACACCTTTGCTTTCTAAACTGTAGATGGAATCCATGTGTGGCTGGATCTAGTCTTAGTCTTAGACTTGGTCAATGATGTTCATCTAAGGGGTTACAAATATCAGTTAGCAGCAGTTTGCAGTTTTAAGGTGGATCTTATAAATTGAGTCAATAGAATTTAATACAACTGCTATAACAATCTGTACACACACCCATACATAAAGACACATAAAAGTATACCTGTTAAAAATTCCAGTTGAATCAGTGCAGTATTCACATCTAATGTCTCAGTATTTCTCAATGGGTGAAGGTCAAGGAGTGGATGACTTCAGCTCAGATTCCATCTTTCAGCAACAGCCTGATAGTCCTCCAGTTATCACAAACTTGAGAGTTTGTGAACTTTGAGCAGTGTCCCTCAGTCAAAGCATGCTTTACCACCCAATTCATTACATAAAGGACAGGGCCTGTCAGAAACTCATGAGATAGAGGAACAGCCCAGAGGATTGGAAGGAGGAGGGAGGGGAGTAGTAGGGAGAAAGTTACACCACCACACACAAGCAACCCAGGACATTTCTGCAGTGTTGACAATACTGAGTCAATGCAGGTGATCAAGAATCAAGCTAGATAAGATAGTCTGCTGCTTCTGATACACACAAGGAGGAACTGGTTGGAAATGTAAAGATCAAGGATCTCAGCTGCAATGACCATGACACTGTGGACTTTAGTATCTTCTTCGAATTGTATTTTCAGAGTGGATTGCTTCAATAACAAGATTAAAATCTCTTAAACCATTACAGAGATCAAGGTAACAGGTATCTGCCATTCCTAACACAGATAAACCTTTGAGTAAGATGAGGGACTTCATCACTGTGTTTCTTAGATTTTTGCTGGTGGCAGAACGAAAAATACAAGTCAGGAATGCAGATTCTGTTCCAAACTCACTAGTCACCTCTGAATTTTAGCTCTCCAAATAAGAAATCCAGCCCGTGTTAGGCACATGAAATGTAAATTTTTTAGACTAAATAAAAAGAAATTACCAAATTTATGGGCATCAGAAAATAAATTACTGAAATAAGAAGTCTTAGACAAAAAATAATTAAAAATGCCACCACCTTTATTTGTAATACCACACCTTGCTCATCTCTCATCACAATATTTCAATCACCTCCCTGCTCAGAGGATAAAGAATGTTTTAGGGTTTCAAGCTTAGTCCACCTAAACCACTGAAGCCATTTAAATGAATGGAAAAGGCCATTCAGCAAGAAGAAAAGATGTCTACTACAACACTTGTTAGAAAAAAGCTGCTAAGAGTCCAGTACTAATAAGACTGAAATTTTTTGAAAATTAAATTGCACTGCAGACAAGAAAAAAACAGAGAAGGACTGGAACGAAAGGTAAAGGCCTAAAGAAATATAAGTAATGTTTAGTAAATATTTTTTCTTGACTGACCCTGAAAATGGGTTCCTTGTGTTTTAAAATGCAGTATACTATGTAGTACTATCCACAGCACTCTGAACTAGTTGTTCCAGAGACTCGGGAAACTACTATTAAACTTCTTAGGAAGTTTTATAAACCAACTAATAAATGACATAGTACTTCAGACATTAATACACACAATTTTGTAGCATACCACCATATCCGTAGTCATGAACAATAAACAAACATATTAAACCCCAAATGTTAATATCCTAGTGATTACAATATGTAGAGCCCAAACCAAATTTTAGTGGAAGCAATTTCATTGACAGTCACAGGCACGGATCAGATAATTCTTGCACCACAGCAATGCTCAGAAGAGGTCATGGAGATATAATATTCTTTCTGATGTTTCCAAACAGCAGACCAGTCAGTGTGATCAAAAATATCTGAGAAAGAGAAAAGGATGCATTAAAAACAACAAAGAAAGTGTTGACACTCACTCATGACTGAGTCAATATGACTGCTAACCTGGCTTCTATGACTGACAGTGCAGACAGATATAAAGGAGAATGACCAGGACATGCCAGAAAATACAAGCTGAATTCTTTGCTGTGGTACAGGCTTGCTGTGTGACCTCCAGCAAGCCACATCCACAGAAGTATCTTGAAATCTATTTTAAGTGGCATATAATTCAGTTATGTATCAAGTTTTTCAGTGCTCTATGAATCCAAATACGTTTTGACTCAATGATCTTAAAGATCTTTTCCAACCTAAATGATTCTATGATTCTTGCTCTTAACCTCTTGAATGGCGATAATAGTTCTTTCCCATCTGACTAGAAGGTGTCAATGATAGTACACTGAAGATCATGAGACACTCATGTACTTCGCTAGTACATGAGTGCAGTATTTGCTTGTACTAGTGGCTAGTACAAGTATGAATAAAAAATATTTTTATTACTGAACTAGCCCATCCAATAGCTGTAATGTTTTTATTACATACTTCTGTGGGAAGGTACTACATATGGAAGAGGTAAAATAGGACATACTTTTAATTCTCTGTGTAAAAATAAACTAAACTCATTTTCAACCTCACAATTCTAGATATTATCAAAAATCTTTCTGCCTGCTCGATGATACTCAAACATCAGGGTGTCTGTGGAGTAAATGATCAGTTCTTATTGCCATTATTAATATGATTTTGGTTTTATATTGATTTATTCCTTTTCACCCAATAAAATTTTCTCACAGATATGTGTGGGAGGAAGGATTTTCATGATTTTGTAATTTGATTTAACGTATTCATGGACTAGGTTCTGTACAGGTACAGGACAAAAGAGGTCTTTTGCTCCACAGATTTTACATTTTCTGTAACTGCTTCCTGTCCTTGCAATGCCATTTGCTTTCACAAGTCAGGTCAAACATTTAATTCAATAAGCTTTGGACACCAACATCTGTGATGGTGCTTGAATATATGGGAGTTTGTTGGTAAACAGTGCTTGATCTTACTTCTACTTAAAATTGATGGAAAGCTTTACAAAATTTTGGAGAGCATGCCAAAGCCAAATGGCAATGATTTGACTTTTACTCCCAGCAGAATATCAATATTTTGTGGGGTTTTTGCTTAAAAGTACTCTTACCTGTGTAATTAGCAGGCTGACAGTAATTGCAGTTAAGATCAAAACATTGTTTTCAAACCATGTGTTTAAATGTTCTTCACATCCCTAAGCAAGTACAGATGAACAGATTTCAAGAAAAAATAATTTCAACTTTGGAATACATATTGCATCTTTATAAGAGCATACTTTAAAAATATATAGAATAGGACTTTCTACATGTTATGATGGGTTCTAATATTTACTTGCCAGAAAGCAAATAGATCAGTAACGTGTACTACAGAGAGTTAGCTATAGCATTTTTAAAATTATCTGAACTGAACAGATAATACTTAAGTATATCTGATATTTATGGAAATCTGATATGGAAATGTTCCAAAGCTTGTGAATTAATCAAAAGAGAATTTGTTTTTGTGAGAGTGTACTGAGAGCTTACCTTACAAGTAAATGCGTGAAAGAATATTTTCAAGTTTTCACAGATTCTCATGCATTATGCATCTTGAAACGCATGTGCATGTTTTTCAGATCACAGTCTATGCCTATTGTATTGCTTTTTAAACTGAATTATAAATCTTTATATAGATTAAAATAGCTATAAATAAAACAGATGCTTTCTATACTTTGAAGTGATCTTTAATAATTACGAGGGTTTGTAGAAAGGGAACAACTCAAGACTGATGAGCAAAGGGAGACAATACCAGATGTCATTTGATAACATCCTTTCTATTATTTACTCTCTTACACTGTCAAGAAACAACCTGTGCCAATTGAATTTGTGTTCTCATTGGATAGTCCTATTAACATGTGAGGGTATATTGAAGAAAGTAGTATGTATCACTGGTTCCTTTATATAAAGAAATGCAAATGCTAACATGAACTGGTCTTGGGAAACACATCTCATTTTTCAATGCCTTGGTCATTCCTTTTGTCCTGTAAAGTATTGGAGGTGCTCTGGAAACAGTACAAACAGGTGGAGACATTGCTGACACTCGGTAAGTAATGAATAGTAATTACAAGTGGAAAATGTACTGCATATTTTTATATATGGCCACTTCCCAATGTCATCACTGATTTCCACAGCATGAATTTCTGAATGCCAAGATGTTTCTTGCTTCATAAACTGCTACTAAATGTCCCCATGTAATACTGATCAGGCATAACTTCTGTTTTCTTGAAGTATCCTTAATCTAGAACTGACTACATGACTGACACTTAACAAGTAAAAAATAAGTCTTCAGAGTGACCAAAGACAAAAAAAAAAAAAAAAATAAAGAATATTATCAATACATCAATACTTCGGCAAGTGGAAAACATGTTTTGAGGTTTGGTGGGGTTTTTTTGATTGGTTTTGTTGTTTTTTTTTCAAAGTCCATTTTAGTAGTAAAAGTTACATTCATCAAGAGAGGTATTCTATTTCTTACCTTGCGGTACATTGAACCCTTTGGGACATCACAAAACCATTTCTTCAGACTGGATTTTGTGCATGAACATGGGATCAGAGTACTGTTTTCCTTGTTTTTATTCCTTTCCCACTGTGTAACATTGTATCTTCCACAGCATTCCATCTAGAATAGAAATACTGTAACTTGTTAACTACAACACCTATAAAGTCTGTCACACAGAGGAATTTCCACCCCAATGAGTGCTAGCTATTAGTTGATTAAATTAGCTAGATAGTTTCTCTCTGCAGAGAGGGTTGGAGCTAGACGATCTTTAAGGTCCCTTCCAACCCAAACCATTCTATGACTCAATAATTCACCTTGTGTATCCACCATTTCCTATTATATCCACTGAGTAGCATAGACTTAACAATAATATGATCTTAAAATATGCTTTTGAAAGGAACCTCCTTGTAGACATTTGGAACATAAGTAAATATGAAAAAAAGAAAAAAAAAAAACACAAACCCAGATTAATGTAAAATATTTTTACAATCACCCTTAATCTTCCAAAGTAATTCCAGTGTAGAAATTGTGCGTAAGCAGTAAACTATATTAAGGATATGCTCACTGTGGAATATTACAAAATGAAAAAAGAAAACTATATAGGAAACAAAAATAATTAATGTTATTTCATAATCAATGTGATAAATCTGGGGACATTTTAATAAAGCATATTTTGAATATAAAAATAAAACCATATACACTCTGGTTTACTCTGGTTGAGAAAATTAAATAAAGACCAGATTTTGAAAACTTTCAGTTTTTTGTTTGCTACTTCTAATGTTGTATATACAAAAACTCTCTGCTCTTATCAAAAGATACTATGCCCTGTTCAAATGGATTATCAATTAGCACTTCCCAATAATCTATTTCAATCCCAGTCACACAAAATAAAACCAAATCACCAAACAGCATTCCGTGGAGAACGGAATTCTTCTCATGTAGGAAATTCCTGCAGTTTTTCATTCTGAATCAGGATAAAACTTCAGAAATATTTGCATTGTTTTATGGGATGGAAAGTCTGTCATATTTTAGCTCAGATTATACCAGCACATAGTCTAGCTGCACCACTGACATAATGGAGTCACCATTAATCACTCGAGAAATCATGAATGCAATGAGAGAAGACTGGATTTTCAAAGAACATACATTACAAATACATTTGTATTCTTGAATCTAGACATACATGCTTTGTGTGTTAGCTGGAATCATAAATTATCTTCAACATTTGTCAAGAACTGTGTAATTCACCTCTGCAAGAAGTCATGTTAAGGGATTCACACCTGATCTATAGGAATATATTAAACCATATTTAATTGCTAAACTGCAGTGTTTATTATTAAAAGCTCATGATGCAGAATTAATTTGCAGGGTGGATAGCAGGCCACAGCCTACTGGACAAAAACATTGCCAATAACTTTCAAAATAACTGATCCCAAGCAAGTGCTTTAAAGGACTTTTCTGAAATAGGAAACAAATTACATGTTGCCAGGCCACAAAAATTATTATGATTAATAATTAAGAATGTGTGCTGACAGTATTGATCTACAAACTCATTTGAGGCTTTAAGCATTACTTCTGAGAGAGTCTCAGTGCGATACCTATTCAAATGCTCTGCAGTAGGAGCTCTGGTCTGACATCATAGTATCTCTGTCCATGGTTCAGGTCAGTCCTGAGGCCTAAAGCAGACCAAGTGTTTTATGATACCTAGAGCTGCTGAAGATATTAGAAAACACTTTTTTTTTTTCAGCTGCAGTAAACTTCAGTGACCAAAACTGTCTGCTCCTAGATAAATTTAGAAATCTTTCAAAGTCCTAATTTCATCCATAATAACCCACATAACAGCAAAGAATCTGCCTACCCACATATTAGCAGCCTATCTTGAAAAATTCATCCTTCACTAAAGGAGTTGTTTTTTTAAAGTAAGTTCTAATTGGTATACACATTTTGGCTGTATTTTTGGTGGTGATAATTTATTGGATTTTTCCTTACATTGTGCTGCACAGCGTTCAGAATGCTCCACACAGGTTCCTGCTCAGCCAGACTCTTGTTCCCATATTCAGAAATAACTTCATCAATTCTGTTGTTCCATTGATTGTGGACCTGTTTATTAATATTTATAGAATTTGAGAGATGCATATTGAAAGAGTGTGGATGGATAGTACAATCTTTGATCTTTCATTGATACTCAGGTTTCTTCAAGGGTTACTTGCAAGTGGCAGCATTGTAATCAATTTGACAAATAGGATCCGAAACATGTCATAGCCATTGCACTAATAGGAAAGTTGAAAGCAAAAGGGAAAGATAAATGAAGTGATCCAAATCACAAAAAAAACACAGGCAGACACAAGGTGATTAGCCTAAATGGAGCCAGAAGAGACAGGGAACATAGTCAAGATGCACCTGATCTGTCTTGAAATACTAAATCCTACCTGTCATACTTATTTTTAGTAAGCACAGCACCCTACATTAATAAGCAGAAAACCAAAATTGATTCTATACCTGGTGTGATACACACTTGTGTGAGCACCATACAATCTGGCCAGGACACATATTGCTTTGGGCTAGGAAAGTAAGCAGTTCATGTTGTCCATAGATTAGGGTCTTTGCAGACACTGTTAAAATAACCCTTCAACAACAATTGGAGTGGACAAGCTAATCAGACATAGAGGGTGCAGCAGGGAATGCATGTAGACAATAACTCCTAGGCTACTGGAAGGAATCATTACAAAACAAGAAAAAATGTGGTTTCTCTAACTCATTCCCTTGCTACAGTCATCCTAAAAAAAAAACCTCAAAAGCTTGCTGAATGAATGATGTTACCATAATTTATTATACTTCAGCAGCACTTAATTAAGGTTGAGATCAAGTGCAATTACAGCTGATATAAAATAAATTTAACTGCAATCTTTCCACCAATTTTCCTAGCACAAATAGCTGATTCCAGAATGCATCACTGCTGACAGTTCAAATCCTTCACCATGTAAAACCATCATATAAAACAGGGAGGTCATCACTATAAATTAACATTTAATAAAAAAACTTGATGAAAAAGATGCATTTTGATGGAGTAAAACTTATTTATTTGTGTTGTTCTGACTTAATAGCATCAGGATTTGGAGAACTGTATGAACCTTATGAGGCTGGTGTCACAGGAGGTTTTCTCAAACCATAGATTTTGGAATTATGTAATAGGAAAGCAGCCAGACCAGTATGGATTCAGTACCAATTGCCTTTCATATAATACTGTGAGGATTCCTTAAGCTATTAGACTTGCTATATGTAGAAAAATAAATGTCTGAATAAAGCTTCAAAGCAGTACAGATACTATTAACATCCATGTTGGTATTTATCTTTGCTTCCTGTTGTGAAAAGCGAAGATACATATTCCTTATACTAGAGCTCTATCGAAACTAAAATACAGGCCTACAATTCATTAGTATACTTTTCATCCCATGATACCAATGACTCCTACTATCAATTGCAAAGCAGACTACAGTTATCACCTGCTAGGAGATACAGGTTAGCATCTAATGCTTTCTTTTACCTCTGCTGATGTCCAGGAAAGAGGGACTTTCTGGGTCATCCCTCAAAGAAGAATAAAGCTGTCCCTTACACTGTTGATTCCACATTCCTGAACAAGAGAGTATGTTTTGTTGCAGAGGATAAACTGGTAATATGTTTCCATGCCCACCCATTTACAACTACTGAACCATGATGAATTCCTCAAATTAAGTTTTCTACATCTTCTGCTATACCTGGTCAACATACAGAATAGTCAAGTTCAGGCAAACAGTGATACAGCATAGAGTGAGAACTATTAGAATTTTTTTAATTAACTGCAAGAAACTATTCTGAAATTATCATCAGTTTCATGTAGTTTATTTACATACCTCTTCTTTCTTTGCAAATATAAGCAGCAGTATTGCCATATGGGTAACAAACACTAGGATTTGAAAACTCATATACTGGGGAAGAAAAGCAAACAGAAAAAGAACTAAGTTATGGATAAACATAATATTGAGTATTTCAATAAAAAGTCCCAGGAGCTCATGGATGACTCATGACTTCATGACTATTATTTAGAGTCATTTGAACAAAAGTAAGAAACATTTTTTTCCTGGAAACCCTCAGAAAGTGACATCATAGTCCAAGAGGCAGGCTTCAGGCAAAGCACAACTCACTGATTTGGGCTTAAAGGCAAAGCCATGACTTGCAAGTGAAGAACAAAAGCTGTCCTTAAGCAGCTGTGCTCCACTGAAGAAAACTCATTTCATTCTTTCCTCTCTGAATTACCATGGTAGTTAAGTCTCATGCCTTGTTAAGGACTTTTTTGAGCTATAAGATGCCCAAGCAAAAGAAAATAATAACTGATTGCATTAATTTTCAGTGAGATGCTGAGACACTAGATACTTCCATGGAAATTGGAAATGAGACAGTTCGTTCTCTTTCATCAATTAATAAATTGAGGGAAACAGGGCAGTAGCAGGACAGAAGAAGGCACAAGAGCCCTTGTTATAACATCAGGGCTCCTCTCACAGCTGTTCCAACTGATATTTGTAGTGCTTAATAAATGAATCAGTAGAACAGTTCTCTGCTTTAGCCTTCACATAGTCTAAAACAGATTGCTCAAAAAGGGTAACAATAAGCAACAGACAAAAATATAATCAAAGTGACCATAAGAATGTATAATTACCATGTAATTTTTCAGAAGTCAAGATCTTATTCTCTTAAAAGCAGAATTATATATAAAGGTAGGCCTACATGGGTAACAGCTTTCCAATCATACTCTGTTTTCATACTGCAGCCATAATGTAGCTACCTGTGCCATCAACCTGCAATATTTTGGGGCAGGTTTTTCTTTATTTCTTCGGCATATACTAAGCACATGAGCACATACTGAGAGAAAGTTAGTCTGCATAATTTCAGTACTAATTTTAAAACCTCTAACTTAAAAAAATACAGAGGTTAAAACGTTTGCTATTTCAAATTGCAAGTGCTCTGACATTGAAAACAATCATCCAGTGATATGGAAGGATATTCAGTTTTGCTCAGATTTCATTTGAGCTGGGACCTTGTCTGAAAATATCTTTGTATCTGCAGATTTCTTAAGGACTGTATGTGGAAATCACATTATCAAGACAATATTACAATTTTCATGCACACAAAACTCCCCTTCATTTTACAAGAAAGTTGGAGTCTGATCTACACTTACTGTAACTAGTAGACATTTGACTTCCACAACACTTCCAAGTAATCCCATGGCTGATGTAAAAGTAATAACAGATACAATTCCAAGTAATATATAGGAAATAAATGCCGCTAGTTGGTTCTTGCCTGAAGAAACTGTAACACAGTACATTCATACTGTTACTTTTCTTTTTGAGACTTCACTTACAAAACTTATTCCAGAAAAAGAATAAAATCTTTGCAATGCCGTTACTGAAAGTGTGGAAATAGCAGAATGGTGAAAGGATATTATTATTACTTACGCTATGGACAGTCAGAGAAAGAAAAAATTTTCATAATGTAGGCAATGGTAAGAACATATAAGATGTAAACAGAACATATTCAACTAAACAATGTGAACCACTCACAATGAAATCAGAGAACAATTACAAGTTTGCAGATATTTCTTTGCATTTGGCAAAAAATTAGTAGCACATGTACAAATACTATGCAGACATATAGTTCTCATTAAATCCAGACTCGGATTCAGTGCTAACCTCCATCTTTGTGATGAGCCACTTTCCCCATTCCGCTCTAACCATTTTTTATTAGATATAGAAAGTAGCAGGAGGTTTCATTACTCCCATCTCAAATGCTTCATATCAGAATTACTATGTTGGATGGTTCCCATATTATCAATTGGGAACTGATGTTCCTTGGCATAGCCAAGGCAGACAGCTCATCGAACATCCCAGCTGCGGTTATGTGACCCAAACCTTACTTCTTTGTGAAACGATTTGCTAAGACACTCTGGGAAAAAGGAATATCTATATGGAGAGACCCAAGCTCCAACCTATGTTTATTCCACCCAAATATCCAACTAAAAGATCTAATGTCAAGAGAAAAAAAAACAATTTCAATCCAATACTGCCACCTTGTGAAAAAAAAAAAAATTCTGTCACTGTTTATGTTACCCTACAATCATTTGAAACAAAAGAAAAATTCTAGTTATACTCACATAACACACTGAATAAATTGTTTCTGTCAAATAAAAGCCACAGGCCAAATGTCAAAAGCATAAGACCCAGAGCCTGGAGAAAGAAAAAAAAAAAAAAAAAGAAAAAAAAGGAGAAAAAGCATTATTGTTTTAATTAAAAACATTTTAAAAAAATAATTTGAAGCTTATAAATAAGAAAAAGAAAACAGAAATTTTACCAAGAAAATTCCATTGAAGACATTTAAGTAGTACTTCTGAATAATTATTTTATCTTTTATTTTCATTCTTCTGTTTTCAGTTTTGAATCACAGCTGAAAAGATAATTATATATTTAGTTCAATATGAAACAGATATAAGTAAGCTTATCAATTACAATGGAATTTATTTTCTTCAGCTAATGTTTTATAAATTTAAACAGTCACCTCATACATTGAACAGAAAAATAGTATCAACAGTAGAAGCATCAAGATGGTGTCTGGTCTCAGTTGCCTCTGATGTTACACTCTACAACATGTATTTTTTTTACCTTTTTTTTTCTTAACTGCTAAAGGCATTTGAAGACAACATGTATGTGGCAAGATTTATATTGCAGAGATGGCAAGAGTTACATAGTCTGGAATACACTTTTGCTTATACATTTCAATATACTTAGTTTACTAATTATTAAAGATACCAGCTGAAATGAAGAGACATAACCATAGTAAAGACATAAGCTCTCAATTTTAAGTGACCTAATTCAATTTTTGCTGAAAATAGCAGATACAGCCTAATTATTTCAGTGTGATTTAGCACACAGTTCTAGCAAAGCCGTAAGAGCTGTCAAACTATGCTACTGCCTTGTACTAATCTGGGGTACCCTTTGCACTTTTGAAGTGAATCTCCTAGTCACTCTGCTTACTTTTTTTCTCTGTTTTTGTTTTTTTTTTTTAATTGTGGAATGCAACAGGATGTGAAAATTTGAATTCCTTTCAAATGAAACTGAACCAAGAAATGCACTTCATCTGTCATCAACAGCAAGTCAATGGAAGGGCAAGCAGAGACCCTGCCCACAACAACTGCCCTGAAATACATGTAAAGTGTGCATTAGACCCTGAGTATCATCCAAGAATCACCCTTGCAAATGCTTGCAAATGTCAACAGGGCCACAATAAAATCACATAGGCATTCATATCTTGAGCATAATTTAGCATATTTCAGTGTGGAAGACCCCTAGCACTGTAAACTGTTTGATGCAGGATTTCTTTTTATATACATATATATCATTATTGATATTATTATCATCATAGCACCGTATCTTCTGGGCCTCTCAAGCTTTTTGCAGAGAGAGTGAAACTTGTACCTGCCTCACGCTCCCTTTCACCTGTCTTGCCTCTTCTCTAAACATACTCTAGGATTTTAGTCTGCCTGGCTTTGTGGTACAAGCCGAGAGGAGTCCAAGAGCAGCAGCGTTACAAGATTGACTGCAATGGCAGCCATCTGCAGTTGTCCTGCACTTCTCATGTGTTAAGCAGGCAGGCACAGAAGCATGCATAGACGCATGAATGTAACCAGCACAGGCATAGTCTCCAGAAAATATTTTCTAATGCAAAGGGATTTGTTTGAAAGGAATAGTTCTTGTCTTCTGTCAGAATTACTATGGATTGATTACAGTAAGAAGTTACATCTTCTGTTATTTGCAAAACAGAAAAAGAAAAAAAAAGACAGAGATGAAATTTCTGTGGTCAGAAAATATCTTGTGTTAACAACCTATTTTACATGTAAAACGTATGTTACGTATGTATCAAATTTGTTGATTAGAAGATTCAGCAAACACAAGCTTTGCCTGCCCTGTCAAGATCCTCATGCCTGGATTCTGAATATTCTGTTGCAGAAATGTAGAATGAAGAAAGCTGTAAGATTCTCAAACTAGCTCTGTAGTGAGTTTGGGTCAGTAATACATGATGTAAACTTATGGACTGTATTAGATAACTGGTCTTGCACTTTCCCAGAAGAAGATTCACTATGTTAAAAAGTAATAAAGGTTCATCAGAATTTTCAAAACCATCATGTGTTAAAACATTGGTGTGATGTGTTGTCCAAATAAAAAACCCTCAACAGTATTTCACTTGAATACTGGCATCTGCAATAGTTTCTGTTGAAATAACTGCAGTTTCTATGCTTTGTTTTGAGCCATTTTAATAATAAGTCAGTTTATCTTCAATAATTTATCTGAAAAACAGAAATATTAACTTTATAAAATTATTTACATTTTACATTACATTGTTGCTTCACACTAAAAATCCTTATCAGCTCTGAATATTTCCATCCTACCTTAAAGAGAACAGTCTCATAATGGTATGTTTCTTTCTGAAGTCCCACTTAACCACATCCTTACAGCAGAGAAGTTTTCTTCTGTTGATCAGCCCTGACTTCCTGGTTACAGGGAACAGGCCTACAGAAAAAAATCTTTTCCATTGGCAAAGTTGTTTGCTAAAGGCATGACATAGTGCCTGTGGTCTTCAGTCACCATGATTACAGCCTAACTTGCACGTACAAAACAAATACTAAGTGCACAGTCAACTCAGTGCTTGAAGGCTTAACCACATTGAAAAGTTCACTGATTACATAATTCTGTAAAATAAAGGACATTTCAAATGGATGAGTTTCCACTGTTTTAAAATTTATATATCTTACTCATCCATAACACTGATGAGAAATTGATAAACAGTTGCCCTTGAATCCAGTATTCTGAGGTTAACATCCACAAGTCTTTCAGAAAGGTCCTCAGTTTATTTTAAAGACAGTAGATGGAAAAAAAAACCTGCTATCATAGACTCATCATAAAATCATAGATTGCTTTGGGTTGGAAGGGACCTTAAAGATCATCTACTTCCAATGCCTCCTGCCATGGTCAGGGACACCATCCACAGCTTCTTTGGGAATGCTGTTCCAATGTCTCACCACCCACTCAGTAAAGAACCCTTGGCAGATCCTTCCCATTACTCAAAATTGCCCATTACACAAAAGTGCCCATTTTCTATGTAAAACCTGTCTTTACCTTTCATGTCTTATTTTCCTGTTATACCTGTCTTTGTACCTTGGTATTCCTCATTTAACTTTGGGGACAGATGCATGGCCTAAAACACCATTACACACTAAAAGTATAATGTCTTCACCCTCCCTGCCCAGTATGATTTTGCTAGACTGAACTGTGTGGAGTCCTTAATTCCCTGACTGGGCATTTTCTGCAGGTCCCAAAGACCTGTATGTGGCTAATTGTAGCAATTTCCCATCTCCAGGTAGTTTATAAAGGAATAGCATTCAGAAGAGTTCAGAATCTTGCCTAACATTCTGCTGTTGCTTTTTCAATCAGATTCTGAAGTGTTCATGTTCCAAATCTCAATTATTTTTGAATCTTACAAAGTGAACATGGCCTTTGTTTGTCATTTAGATGAGTAGCTACAGAACAAAATCAAGGGTATACATGTAAATTATACAAAGCTGTTTAATGAACAAGCAAATGTAACAGATAATAACCCATGCCCTGTGGCAGGCTGCTAGAGATTGGAAAGTGCTTTAGGTTCTCAGGCACACTTTACATGTATTTCAGGGGCAGTTGCTGTGGGCAGCGTCTCCACTAGCCCTTCCATTGACTGAGCACCCACTTGCAATTAATGTTGATGGACATTTCTTGATTTAGTTTCATTTGAGAAGAATTAAACTTTTCACACTCTGTTATAGTCTGAAAAAAAAAAAAACCAACCATAACAACCCAAAACAAAACAAAACAAAAACAAAACAAACAAAAAAAAACAAAACAGAGGAAAAAAAGTGAATAGGAGTCTTTCCAAGCTATGACAGGGCCCCAGCGTGTGATCACAGCAGGGATGCCTGGTGGGTTTTCATTTTTTATGCCTCTAGAGTTGCCCTGGCATAAAGGAAGCAAAATTGCAGAGGTTTAATGCATCTTTATATAGTTTATCTTTGGTTTGCTTTAATTCTTTTTTCTGATTAGTTGCTGATTCAGATTTATTCTGAACACTACATTCCAGTTCACTGCTTATAATAAAAAAGCATTAAAAAGTAAAACAACACACAAAAAAGGTTTGCGAGGCGCTTGGTCCCATAGAGCGGCCTTCGAGGGGCCGCCTCCCCACCGGCACGAAGCGCCACCTGCTGGCAGAGTTTGGATACTCCGGCTTGCCTTCCCAGCAGCGGCTTCCCGTTGCCTTGGCGACGCTTTGCGGTCAACAGGGCGGTAGAGGGATTGTAGTCGTCCCGCGAGGGCCTGCCTAGGGGCGGTTGGGGGCTGCGGAGTTTCACGGCCGAGGGGTGGCCCGTCTCCGGAGTCAGCCAGGAAGGCGGACGCTTCGGTAGGAGCTCGGCTGAAGGAGGAGTGAGTAGCTGCACGGAGTAGACCGAGGAGACTGGAGGGCTATGGGCTCCCGAGAGGGAGGACTACAGCCCCCAGCACGCAACGCAGCTACTTTGCGGTCATTCCGGGAAGCGGCGGCGGGCGGGCATCCTCCCTACCGCCATGGCTTCTGGGAGGTGTAGTTCCTCTCAAGAAGGACCTTCTTTGTACTAAACTTTACATCTGGAATGCGCTCTGCGTGTTCTTTCTCCTGTTCCAGGAGCCGGCGACGGACGAGGCTCGCTGGCTCTGATGGAGATGGTCTGGGCTGCCTCCCCTGCCCCCTGACTGGGGCTAGGAGTGAGGACTGGGGTGCGGGTTGCAGAGGGAGAGGGGGGTAGCTGCGGACCCCTTCCCGTCCTGCCTGCATCGGTCTACAAGTCTTGTATGTACTTCTGTGGGTTAGTCTATTTCTCACTGCTTTTTCTGTATTCTTGCAACTTCATCGAATGCTTTCTGGGTCCTTAGTGTTATTTTGTAATTTTTAATATCAACTATATTTATATATATATTTAATTTGCAGCTATTAGGTTTGCGGGAAAAAAAAAAAAAAAAAAACCAAAACAAACAAACAAAAAAAAACCACCAAAAAAACCCACAAACCTTTGTGAGGCTTAGATCGTAGCACTAATACTGTCCACTAGGAGTAGAGAGCAGGCAGACTTTTTTAATATACAAATTTAGTAACACCTGCAGAATTTCGAGGGGGCAGCTGAGAGGAGAGTCTCATCACAAACAGTTCTCTTATTTGCTTGCTAGTATGGAGTGAAGTTCTCAGAACAAACTTCTGCTGTTCCTTTCATGTTTTAAGCCAACTGTTCAGCAAATACAGCTAAGCTTATGCTAAAAAAAGCATCGTCCTTATTTTGTTTCATGCAGTGCTGAAAGTTAGTATTTTCCTTGTGCAGATTTGAAAGCAGATAAGACACTGTGGAAAGTAAAATGTCAGAAGATACTGAGGGAATTGAAAAAGAAATAGAAGTTGAATTAAGCAGAATCGTTGTTTCTTCCTTTGAAGCAGATGACCTTGACACAGAAGTATCAGGCGGAGCTTTGAGAGACAGTGAGGCAGTAAGTATTCAATGGGCTAAAAATGCTTCCATTTCTGCTTGAAAGTAGTATGGGCATTGGAAAGCTAATCTAATGAATGTTTTTTTTCCTGACATACCTAACCTGGGGATTTGTTCTGAAAAGTTGTGTCAGTAGTAAAGCTTCATGAAAAAAACTGTAACTTCCAATGGTGACAAGACAGTAAGACAGATGAATATCAGCATTCTGCTTAAGTGAGGAAATCAGACTCAGAGGTAATGTTTTGGTTTAGATCCTCTGAAGCAGGAATGTTTTATTAAAGTTGATGAGGTAGATTAAATCTGGATGAATAAAACAATGTTTCTGCATTTAAATCTGTATTTAAATCTTACAAGATACTGTCTAATGTTTGAAGACTTCCTGTTATTAATTTAATATAATTTGATTGCTTAAGTCCTCTTTATTCTATGACTTCTTATTTTGGAAACATATTTTCTCTTGAAATCCAGTCATAGCAAAAGGATTGGTCTATAGGTTATTAGGGTAGATTGTACTGGTTGTGTGTGACTGTATATCATATGTTTGATATGACATAAAGATCAGCAAAGGCATCAGTGATAATTATTTATGCACGCACATGGTGAATGTCAGCAATGCTTACCACAATTTACACATCTGAGAGAGGGCAGCCCATTTCCCCAAATCCTTGAGGTATTTGTTAATTTTTGTCTTAACCTTTTCCTTAATTTCTCGATCCAACACAATTACACAGAAAATGTTAATTGTAACATGTTTATGAAGGTAGCAGAAGAGAAGTTGCTAAGATGTGTTCCAATCAAAATTTACTTAGAATGTAATTAAAAGTGAGAGTTATTAATTGTTCAGTAGGTAATAAGATTGTGGAAACAGTGTAGTAATTGGGAACAATGTTGGTAGCCACTGCTACTAAATCTCCATCAATACGTTATAGGTGAAGCCAAAATGAGTATTCTTGCATGTCAGGTATTTACCTCTGGTCATGATTGTGAGATGAAGATGCAGAATTTGTGTCAAATACTGTGTTTTTCTAGATTTCAGATGACTTGCCAGAATCAGTTATCTCCTATTTAAACTTCATAAAAAGCAGAAATCAAGATGCTGAAAAGTTTATACTGCAAGACTTAGAAGATGAAGAAACTGCAAGTACGCAAGCGTCACAGATAAAATATTTATGCACCTCATATTGCCAGTGGAAGTTAGACTAACAATCTGAAGCCAAGTTCAGAGTTTGTATGCCCAAGGAGCTGACATTGTCTGTTCCATTCCAGTTTTTCACATCATCTTGGGTTTCACGCTCATTTAGTGTAATGGTCTTTGTGAACAGGAGATTCAGTAATTGTCTATATATTTTTATATTTGAAGAAGGTTTCTTTTTATAATTTTGTTTGGTTTTTTGTAATGGGCACCTTCTCATTGTAGTTCTTTGGTTTTGACCTGTCTGATACAAGTTCTACTGTATTTTTCTACATGGAAAATGTTCTGCTGTGTTCTATGCTGTGGAATTCTCTTTCATATCCAGTATCATTGTGTGTGTTCCAGATGCACGTATTTGCTGCTTTTCATGTACATAAATGACTCTTATATATACTAGAGTAAAATTTGGCTTATTTAAGAGTTTTAAAGGGAAATAATGTTTTATTTTACTTTAAAGAAATACAGTAGCAAAGCAATATCGAACAGAAGTGAGTACTGGCAAGGGATTTTATCTCTGTGTACTAAATTATATATTTATTTCTTCTTTAGGTAAGATTTATGGAGTAGTTTCTTGCCATGCTTCAGATTACTTGGCAAAATTGGCTTCTGAATATTATGAAGATCCAGAACAATTTAAAAAAAAGGTATTCGCTATTTAAATAATATTTATAGTGAACAAAATTCTATTAATTAATCTTTACACTTGCTTTGTTGACCTCCTAAGGAGACCTATAGGTGTGTTCAGTTTTGTTTCTGTCAGACTAAGGTATTAAGATGAGTTTGTACATGCTGTTCTTTATAAACAGGTCATCAGCTGTAATACACCATATTTATAAGTTTTAAAATTTGGAATAAATTTTCTGTATCAGTAGTTGAGGTGCTCAGCACAAAAATCAATAAGATGAATTAAAACTGAATAATCTTTATTGTTAATTATTTGCAGAATATTATCTCAATAGTATGATAACACTTTTAAAATTCTCTAATCTTTTTATCATGATTAGGAGGATGTGCTACTATTAGTCTTGCCCTCATATATTCCATTATTTTATAGAAAATTTAAAGATAATCATGTCTGTAACTTTCATAATCAAGAGCTATCAATCTGGATTCTTTTACATTTTCATAGGATTTAACTGAATAACTTGCTGAAGTTTTTAGAAAAATATAAAACTGTATTGAATTTAATCACTTTTAATTTGTTGCCTGGCTTTTATTAGTATGCACTTTTTCAAACATGATTTTTTGTTCTCAGAACACCGTTGTTTAGCACAATTAGTTTATGTGACTTCAGTTGCATTAGAAATATTAACATATGCCCCCAGCAGGTGATGAACAGGTGGTAAATGAGCAGGAATAAATTGCTTCTTGACAGTAAAGAACAATGAAAGAAACATAGCAATCTGCATGTCCATAGTACTACTTCCAAGTAGATTCCTTAAAAATTTACTTTGAAACAAGTTTTTCCCCTGTGTGCGTAACAGTATTAATGCATAAATATAGTGGTTAGTTCCAGAGAAAGGAAAACAAATCCCACATGCAAACCATTCATTTTTCTAAGTCAAAATATAAAATATATTAAAAAAAACACATAGAGATGTTATGTGTTTTGAGAAATGGTCCAATATATATTACTCTAGAAAACAGTATTTTGACTGATACATTTACATTATTCAACGTCTAAGGATTCCAGTCTCTGGACAAGGTGGGGCATATCCCCATTTAGACACTTTGGTAGTGTTGTCACTAGCACAGTCTTTTTGGAAGTGAGACATGGAGACCAACTTCCTCCTTTACAGAAGGATCTAGACATTTAGTTTCCTACTAGCTCAACAGTATACTTCTGAATATGCATGGAAAACAGTGCTTAGACACCTGGGAGACTTTATGCCCCAAGTTGGAAGTGCTAGTTTATTTATACTGGTTCCTTCATATCCTGGTGTATATTTGATTTGGCTGATACTGATTTATCTTGGTTCCACTAGAAGTTATGTGGTTCCGGATCAGCCTCTTTTTTTTAGGTACTTACTGTCTGCTAATTTTCAGTCAGATGTAATTTTCAGATAATTCATACTTTTTCTCACTGAGAATATGTTGGGCAAGGAGTGAAATGCTATTTATTTGCAAATAGTGAGAAAATAGACTTGAACTTTCATTTCTGTTGAGGAACAATTTCAGTGAAAAGAATTATTTAGCTTTACTGAACAGAATTCCGGTTTGAAAGATTTTAAGATCAACAGTGACGTACCAGTGCAATTAAAGGAAGATTGTTCACACTACTTTCAGAGTGTTTTGGTTATGTTTCTATTATCTACCTGTACTTTGAATAGTTGTTTCACAAGCATAGTTTTCATTTTCAATAGTAGTACAGAATTCAGAGAGGAAGGTGGCAGTTGTTTGGGTCAGTACCAAGATGCTGATTCTGTGAAGGTACGCATCCTTCAGTACACAACCAAATCTTTTGTTACGAGTGTAAGTGCCCAGTTGTTTATTTTATTCTTGCACATTTAGGCATTCATAAAAGTGCAAAGTCAAGAAGACGGGGGAGATAGGAGAGAGGGTGGTTTGTGATGTTCCAGGTTTTATGCAATATTCACTTAAGTTAATTTGTTGTGCAGAAACACCAAATTGCAGTAGAAGATGAGTTATGGAAAGAAAAGAAAGCTTGGAGAGACAAAACGATGCAACATGAGGTAAGGTTCTACAATGAGGTTTTGTTGAAAGACTGTGAGGTTACTGTCATACCTTGTGGAATCAACGTTATTCTGAAACAGTTAATACACCATATTTATTTATGATAAATATGTGTCAACACCTGTCATATTTTAAAAGTGTTTGAAGTCTATCCTTATTGTTTGGGCCTAGGAATTGATCATGAAGCTACAGTTGCAAATGGAAGATGAGAAAAATTCCTTGGAAAAGCAGAAAGCAAAAGAAAGACAACACCTGACAGAACAACAAAATACAGCAGCTGTGAAAATTCAAGCTAGATTTAGGTCATTTTTGGTCCATAAAAAATATGCTCCCATTTTAAAACAATGGAAAGATGAAATAAAAAAGAAGCAGAAAATACTAGAAGAAATAGAGAGAGAAGTGAAAGGAAAAGAGGAAAAAATGAAAATGCGAATGGCAGAAAATTGGCAAAAGAAAGAAGAATTAAAAAAGAGACAAGAACTTCTTGAAAGACAGGAATATTTGGAACAGGTGAGGAGATGTGAGGATTATGAGAAAAAGAAAGAAAGCCTGAGACTTAAAAGAGAAAAACAGTTGCAAATAAGAAGAGAAGATCAGAGAAAACTAGGAGAAAAAAAAGCAAAAGCTGTGATGAGTGAAAGCACAGAAGAGAAGAAAGGAAACATAAACAACCATAAGCAGACAGAAAATACAAAAGTAGTAAGAGAACAGGAGGAGGAAGAAGTAGAGGAAGAAGAAAAACAGGTTAAAATGATGGATGAAAAAACATATTGGATTATTCCAGCAGAAAGAACTTTGACTTCAACATCAAATATGCTAGGCTCTGAGAAGGAGCACTTTTTTCAAGTAAATAATGACAGCATATACAAAAATTCAGTAACACATGTAGGAGAAACTTACTCACAAACTAGAGATCTTAATAAAGCTTCAAATAATCATACTTCAAACAATGAATCTGTTAATTTTGGAACTAACAACATGGTAGAAAATAAGGCAAGCAATATATGCAGCAGTTCAGCAATCGTCCAACCAGATGATAGTGATAAAGAAGTCAAAGATCACGTTTCTCAGTCTGAAACAAGGAAGAAAACTGTGTTTCTAATGGAAGATGCTAATGAAGTCAGAGGGACTTCAGACAAAATTCAAGATTCAGCTGAGTGTTCCATTAGTATAATTCTTCCTGATGATATTGAAAAGAAGAGAATAAACTGGATGAACACATGTAAATCCTGGTCTAAAATACATGAAGAAAATCAAAGAAAGAAAGCAGCTGAAAAAAAACGAGCAAGGAAGAGTTCACTTAGCAAGATGCCTAAAATGCCTCCATTAAGTACAGAAAAGATAATTCACAGCAGCCCTTGGTGTACTCTGAAGCAGGTAACTATACAGAGTATTTAGAATGAAATTGGAAGCTACAACATAGCTTTTTTATTATTATTTTATTTCTTTTTAATTCAGTATGTCAACAAATGGTTTTTTGGAAGAGGAGGAGATTATCATTGAGCAGGATATAGATCTTTGTGAGACTTCCTCTGCACAAGTGCAGAATAAGGGCAATGAGAATTTGCCTGTTTTTGAGACTTTTGAATGCCTGTAAGCATTGTGGAGCAGACTAGTGTGGTATTAGTCATCAGACAGTTGATAGTATCATAAGTCTATAAAAGGCAGGAGCACCTAGCTCCTATTTTCTGTTAAATTAATGTGTTTTTTGCCTTGGTATGAAGGTCTGCATTTCAGCTTCTGCTTATCTAGCCCCTTCAGAGTTTTGAGAAGAGTAGTCTCTTCCAGAACCAAGACATTGATGATCAGCTTATAGATGGTGGTTTTGCCATAAATAACATCTCTTGGTTCCCAACACCTACTTTTCTTTCCACTTGCTAACCTATCACTGTATGCCTGTTCTGTGCTCTCATCTTGATATCCAGTCTGATATGACTGCATATGCTTTTAGTCTGAACTATTTTTGTCTAGTTTTGTACAGTCACTTGTTATTTATGGTAGTGTGGTGGGAAACAATTCAGACTATTGGTTGCTCTGTTTGGTGTTAATCTTCCACCCATTCAAATTTCATGTCATTAGTAAAGCACTGGTTTTATTTGTTATAAGGTAGATGTTAAAATCAATTGTTTTCTTTACATCTTCTCCCGTTTAACAGATCAAACCCATCATTGTCATCCTTTTCTACATGAAAGGATTAGCATTAGTTGCTTGCATTTTTCTAAAGTGTAAGTAGAATGTAGTTTGGTTCTTTTTAAAGAAAATAGCCATAATGTGATATTGTACAAGAATGTTCAATACACGCACAATTACTTTTATTTATCGATAAATTCATGTAGGTCACAACACTTACACTTGAAGATTTGCCAGCTTGTAGTCTCTCAACGTTATCTGAGTGTTCAAATCTTCAATTTTTGACTCTGAGGCGCTGTGGACTAGTTGCACTGGAAGGACTAAGTAGCTGCAAAGACCTGAAGTATATCAATGTGGAGGTACCAAATGTGTTTGATTCTTTATAATAACCCAGGTAGAACTGCCAGTTCTTCTGCTTAGTTGGTTATACAGTTGTGTCCAACTGTGAATATATAGCTTTTATTGCCTTAAGAACATAGGAATGTCAACAAAATACTCTCAAATGTTAACAAAGTTATACCAGCAGATTTGCATTGCATATAAAAATTTGCATTGTACTAAAGCAATATCCTGCAGAAGAATCAAACTATACTAATAAAAGTGCATGGTAGTATCAGTCTAGGATTAGCGTTAGTATGGCACACTGATAGATCTTCATTACCTTAGATTTATGAGTGGGCAGATGCTACTCACCATAGCAGATGCTCAACTTAAGCAGAAATGGGTAGAAGGAAAAGTCCTTTGCAATACACACAGTGAATGTTAGTAAAATTATTCCCATATATACTCAAGGAACAGTATAGTGTGTTACACTACAGGTATAATGTCTAGGTACTTCTACTGCAGTGTCTTACATGGCCTTGTAAATTTAATGACAAAGGAAAACTTTTTGCTCTGTGATGCATCTTAGTTCCAGAGCTTGACAATTTACATGAAGCAACTCTGTTCACATTTTTCATTTCATGTGCTTTAACAATACCAATTCAAAAGAAAGATAATATGCCCTTATTTCCATAAGGAGATGGGAGACATGGTTACTTGGGACATGGAGAAGGCTGAGGTACCTAACGACTTTTTTGCCTCAGTCTTCACCAGAAAGTGCTCCAGCTGCACCACCCAAGTCATATAAGGCAAAGGCAAGGACTCAGATAATGAAGAACTGCCTACTGTATAAGAAGATCAGGTTCAAGAATATCTAAAGAACCTGAAGGTGCCCTAGTCAATGGGACCTGATGAGATGCATCTACAGGTCCTGAGGGAATGGGTGGATTAAGTGCCTAAGCCACTATGCATCATATTTGAGAAGTTGTGGCAGTCCAGCAAAGTCCCCACTGACTGGAAAATGGGAAACATAGCTCCCATTTTTAAAAGGAGAAAAAAGACCCAAGGTGTGTGATGTGGTTGACATGCTGGAGGGAAGGATGCCATCCAGAGGGATCTTGACATGCTTGAGATGGGCCCTTGCAAAGCTCATGAAGTTCAAAAAGGCCAAGTGCAAGGTCCTGCACCTGGGTTGGGGCGATCCCAAGCATAAATACAGTCTGGGTGGAGAAGGGGTTGAGGGTAGCCCTGTGGAGAAAGACTTGAGGCTGTTGGTTGATGAGAAACTCAACATGACCCGGCAGTAGGGCATGTTGAAATATCTGTATCTTTTTCTCAGTTTTCTTAGCAATTATCAGGATTTGATAGTTTTGGGAATCTGAAAATACAAGAGCAAAATATCAGTATAAGGACATAGTATCTGTGTCTCCAGCCTTCCTGAGATTGGTATTTTTATGTGATTTTTTTTTTTTCTTTTGATCAAATATTGGCTGTCACAGAACAGTTTTGGGTTTGTGGCTTCTTTGGGTTTTTTGTGCTGTTTTTTTTTTTTTATTATTAATGTTTATTAATTTAAAATGTTATGCCTTTAAAAATACAGAGGATTGCCTCACTATGATATATAAGGATAATTTAGTTAAGGAAAAGACTCTTAGATATATTTTAAGTAGGCTTTATTAATAATTTAGTAATTATACATGTTATTAGTTATAATATTTCATACTTTTGCTGTGCCAGCTAATGTGGCAGTTGTCTTCTATTCAGCATTAATGAAGAAACAGCCTCTTTTGTCACAGTCCAAGATTGGTTCATGGATATTTCTCACATAGCTAAAGCAGCTGCCTCTGTTTCTCTTGGACATCCATTTCTACTTGATATTGCTCCTCATTTCTTTTGATACAAAAGCTAACATTTGAGCCATATCAGTTCTCTCCTTTAACTTACTGATGCAACTGAAGAGGCTGTCCAAGGGCAGGAATTCGTGTTATGGCTTCCAAAGGAAACCTGTAAGCATTTCTGCCTGCAGCTGAAGGCAGTGCCTAAATCCAGTCAGTTTGTTAATTCTGGAATAGGAATTAGACACTTTGGTTTAATAAGTATGTTGCAAAGGCAAGGAATTAAGGTTTGAGTATTTGCAGGTGAAAAACAGGAAAACAGCAACAGCAGTAAATAGTGAAATAAAAATTTGAGGAAGCATTATTAAAACGGTTTTGGGAAGGGGATGTTAAAAGAGCAAGATCTCTTGGGAGCAGAACTTTAGCTGAGAACAGTGTTAATGTTTGTGAACAAAATATTTCTAAATGCAGATTTTCACTCTTTGTTAATAGATTCCAGCAAAGTCATAGCTGTTTTCGTTATTGTCTAATAAATATGATGGTTTCTATTCCGTTTTTAATTTAGTCTTCTAAAGGGCTTTGGGAAACTGGGGAAGCATAAATAGAAAAGACCACTCTATCCTTAACTTCTCCTTACACTTTTTTGTACAACTTCTGGGCATTTTCAGAGCCAGAATGAAGTTTGAAATACATATTTGTTCTATTCCAGCAGGACACTAAAGACAGCTTCTGTGACTCATCAGTTTATTTTCTTAATGGGAAAAAATAGAGATGCCCTTACTCCTAGCTAGAAGTTTAGGGTAAAAATAAGCTATGATGACCTTCTTAATTCTGATGACCTAGACTTAATTCTGACGTTTCACTTCAGATGCTTTTTAAGATTCTCATTTTCCTTTATTGCAGGAAAACAACATTCAGATAATTGACTGTGAAAATCTAGAAAATCTTAGTATTCTTATTCTGAGTAAGAACCATCTTTCATCAGTTTTTGGCTTAGATGACTGCATAAATCTTCAAAATCTTGAACTTTCCTACAACAGAATCACTCGGATTGGTAAGAAAATTAATGAAAAGTTATTCCAAATTGTATGACAATGATTGTGCTGTTTATATTCAGTTATACTTCACTTGGATTCAGGGCCAGCGAGCTGCTAAAAGAGGATGACAAAAGAGGCTTAGAACAGACCTGCACTTTAAAGCATACTCAACTTCACATTTGTAGTATGGCTTAGCTACTGCTGTGTGTTACTTCTACCAGTTTGTGTCACTATTGTCAGTCAAAGAGAACTAAAAATCTTTCTGCAAAGGCACCTAAGATTACCTGCGTTATCTCAGTTGGAATATGTGAGTAGGCTGAGTTCAGTTTATCTACAGAAACAATATAAAGCCTAGCTTTGCAACTGCAAAGAATTACAGTGTGTTCTTTACTGACACAGTAACTAGTTGTATAGAAACCATATTATCTAGTTATTATTATTCCACTCTGCCTCTTCATTACTACTCATTGCCCCAAAGCTGGAAAAAAAGAACGAGTTTCAGGTAGAATCATAGAATCATAGAGTAGTTAAGGTTGGAAAGGACCTTAAGATCATCATTTAGGCACAGCAGGTGTGCCAACGCCTATTGTTTCTACAAAGGTAGTTATATTTGTCAGGCCCAACAATTGGCAGGCAACAGGTGTACCTTTAGCAGTCAACCAGTTAGAATTTATATGTACCCAGACCACACAAACAATGCATCAATACATGAAATCTTTCTGCCAAGAGAGAGATGTTTTCTCTTGGCCAGCAGGGCATTTTTCATTACCTCTCTGCTTGTACTGCTACTTGGACTATAAAGTGCCTAAGGTGCAGGGTGTGTCTCAGCTTCTGGCAAGTTGTTTGTTTGTTTTTTTTTTATTGCAGTGAGTTTTGTTATGTAAATTTCATATAAATGTAAGCAGTATCCAGAGCCTTTTCTACTGACAAATGTTCAGGAAAGTGTAGCATGGTGAAAATATCAGAGAGCTTAGCTGTATGTAAGTGGTGAAGACAGTTTTTTGATTTTAAAATTATGTATGCCCATGCTAAATCTAAAGATGTTACTGGGAAAGACTGCAGAACTGGGAATGGAAAAGATATAAGGAGATTCTGATTTTGATCAACGTGACCCAGCAATGTGCACTTGCAGTCCAGAAAGCCAACTGTATCATGGGCTGCATCAACAGGAGCATGATTAGCAAGTCAAGGGATGTGATTCTTCCCATCTGCTCCTGGAGTACTGCATTCAGCTCCAGGGCTACCAGTGTAACAGTGATATGGACCTGCTCAAGTGAGTCTAGAGGAGGGCCACAAAATACAACCAAAGGACTGAAGAACCTCCCCTGTGAAGATGGGGTGAAAGAATTGGGCTTGTCAAGCCTGGAGAAGAGAAGGCTCCAGGGAGGCCTTTTAACAGTCTTCCAGTACATAAAAGGGGTCTACAAGAAAGCTAGAGCATGTAGTAATAGGACGAGGGGCAATGGCTTTAAAGTAAAAGAAGGTAGCTTTAGATGAGATACTAGGAAGAAGTTCTTTACTGTGAGGGTGTTGAGGCACTGGAATAGGCTTCTCCAAGAAGCTGTGGCTGCTCCATCCCTGAAATTGTTTAAGGCCAGACTGAATGGGGCTTTGAGAAACCTGGTCGAGTGGAAGGAAGATGTCCCTGCCCCTGTCAAAGAGGACTGGAACTAGGTGGTCTTTAAGATCCCTTCCAACTCCAACCATTCTATGATTCTGTGATATTTTCTTTTTTTTTCTAATTGATTTAATTTTCTTTAAAGTACATGGCCATACTTTATTTTCCTGCGGCCCAGCAGGAAAATAATATAAAACAGTTATTAGTCTGATAGATGAAACACTTTCACATAAGACATTTATATAATTAAATGGTTTACACTGTTAAAAAAAAAACACAACCTGAAACAGTATGAACATGGATAATGCAATTGCATGACAGACAAGAAGGGCATAGCAAACAGGAAATGGGACAGCTAAAAAAAAAAGAACTATCTCTAGATTTAGAGGTTTTAATGCTGATATTTTTAATATTTTTTTGCTTATATGTGCAAATTTGGAATGTTACTATTTATGAACTGAGTTTATAATACGTGAGAATAAAGGTGCTGGAATATCAGTGCTAACTGTAAAAGCATATCAGGACCCTAATAAGAAAAAGTAGAATAAACTGGTTAAAGAGGCTTCACCTATATCCTTGTGGCCAATAATGCTGAATAAGACTCTTCTTCAGGTTTGTTTCATTTGATAGATATGTTTGAAAGATTACTGTAGGAATGACATAGTATTAGTAGATGACATATAGAAATATGGCATCTATGGGGAATGTATGTGGAACGTACAGGCGAAGTGGTGTGAAATCCTCTCATACTTTTCTGTTTTGTTCAGTGTGCTGCTATGTTTACTGAGTCTCTAATAGTATGGGTGGGTAAATAACTGTTCACAAAAATCAGCTTGGAATCCATCTTTTTCCTCTCCAGAATTGCTTTGAGGATGTCTGGTTAAAACATCCTCATTATAAAATATAGTACAGGATTTGTTTCATACAATAACATATTGATTGTAAGGAGTCACATAGAATACACAGAAATGGATTTATGGGTTTTAAGAAGTTAATGTATCCTTCCTATCCAATCTTGGAAGATGTCCCTTAGCATTTTGGAAGCTGCAGTACTGCTTTTTAACGAAAGCTGTGGTCTTTTTCCTAAGATGTAAGGCTTATTTATGTTTGCAGTGCTTCTGTTTCAATAATTTATTGTAGAAAACTTCAAGCATACTAAGATTTTTTTTTTCTCTCATTAAAATACAGCATCAGTAGAGGAAAAATTAGCTGCCAGAAAAGCCTTAAAAATAACAGTAAAAGTATGAGAAATGTCTCAATTATGCTTTTCCATTTAAGAATGCACGATCACAAATTAAGTAATTGTGTCAGTAACAGAACTGTGAAGTTCAGTGTGTATGTTTGTACTTGGAAGATGAATGCATTACCTTCTTACACAAAAAGTAGTATTTTGACTTGAGTCATAGAATACACTTTTGTAGGGTGTCTGTGTGGTCAAAGTGTGTTGGTTAAAATTCTGGCAATGCTCAGAATAGCAGTGCATAACCATGGATAGCTGTAAACGCTTCTTTGGACCTACTCTTTTTAAGAAAGCCCCTTAAGAAAGGGTTTTTTTAACCAGACACCGTTCAGATTTGTTTTATTTGGTGTTTTTTTGTTGTTGTTGTTTGGTTTTTTTTTTTTTTGCATGTTCACTGTCAGCTTTCACTCCTCTCTTATCATTCATCTTTGTCACATGTAGATGTTATTTAAGAACTGCATTGATAGCTAAGATAGAGTCTCTAGCTAACAGACTCCAGCTGCACTTTCAAATTGCTAAGAGCTACTTCTGTAAAGGTTTTCCACAAATTTTGCTGAAACCATATGTTTTTCAACAGAATGCATTTTTCCAAATACTGATGCATTGGTTGCATCATATGTAAAACAGAAATATCTTCTGGAAATGTGCAGAAGACTTTCATGCTTATTTTTAATTTTGCATGTTTGCAGAAGAAACATTAAAATGCCATCTGTTTGTATTACATTATTCTCTCTTGTGTATGTTTCTGCTGGACTGCATTTGATAGTTCCAGAATAGATTGTGATCCTATTGTATGTAGCCTTGGCATGTCTGTTCTGGATGACATTTGGTCTAATTAAATGAGACAGATGAGGAAGAGATGTAAAAAAGTGCTTTCTGCAGCATGCAAAATAGGAGATTTTCAGATCGAGTATTAACTCATTGCCTTTTCTTACTGTGTGTGCAGTCTTTTCTCTCTGTCCCGCCCAAGACCAACTCAGTGCTTTTAAAGTTTTTACTGCTATGTTCATAACTTAACAGTGGAGTTTTAATGACTGCTCTTGTAGGAAAGTCTTGGGAGCTCTTGACGCAAATTGTTATTGAAACCGCTAGATGGTGCTGGTTCCTTTTTATTTTTAACCTAGAGCAAAAGAAAGTAATGGACCAGGATCTTCCAGTGAGGATAGTATGTCATGGGCATGTTTGAAATTCTTTCAGAATAATTAAAGATTTGTATATTTATTTCATAAAGCATAGTTTTGAAGTTACAGTATAAGACATTTGGTTTAGATTTAGGATTGTATCTCTTCAATATCAGGTGACTATGGTATTTCTATTAGGTGCTTCCCATTTTTAAATTACTGTGATTCAAAGGCCTGTATTTGGGTATTTCTAAACATACTGTTAGTCTTCGCATTTCATTCTTTACCTTTGTTTTCTCCTTATCATTCATTTTCTCTTTTGGTTCCTCTTCTGTATTCTCAATAATCTGTGGTGTGAACTGGACTCTGGTCTCATAATAAAGTTTGTTCTCAGAGGACAATCACAAAGACATTCACCTCTGTAAAGCTCATCCGACTTACTTTTAGGGACTTGGGAAGTCTTGAGTGAGATGAAAATGTGATAAAGTATGATTTAATATAATAAGTATATAAAAAGTGTATAAATAATCCTTTAAAGAAAGCAAAGTAAATTCAGAATTCCTTATTTTAGATATGTTTTGTAAAAGTTGTCCCTTCAAAGGAGTTTTACTACAGATACACAGAAAAACTGCCTGGACTTGTAGCAAGCCGGATGCATCAGTGTCATTGCAGAACATCTTGCATATGTAACCCCATGGAAAGACAGTGTGATTTTGCAATTTTAAGAACATGATTCAGGAAGAATTCTGTGGAAGAAACAGACAGTGACAGGAACCTTTTCCTTTATATCTTTTTAGTGTAGAGATTGTACACATTCTTGCTTGTTGAGAGTGTAATGGCTATAGAAGTATAGGCTTATATTTAAAGGCACCAAACATTTTTTATGAGTTTCTTCATTAAAAATGTTTTATGACATAATTCCTTAAGCAAGATGCACTTTAATAAAGATGGTGCTGTCTTAAGTTTTAACACAATTTGTTCTCAACTTGCTAATAGCTTGAAAAAAACCCACTTTTAAAAAATGAAATAATGAAAATTAAATTTTAAGCATAAAAACTGTTTTCATTTGAGGGGTGATTTTAAGAGGGCTGTTAGCATTTCAGAGAGCCCATAGTTTATAAGTACCAGTTATAAAGTGTTTAATGCATATTAAGTATAGTTTATCACTAAAAGAATGTTCTGTTTCAACAGAAGTGCTAAAGGGGTTATGAGCTGGTTTTATTGCGTGGTTAACAGGTTCAGAAATTTTTGAAATACACATGTTTTATATTTGATCAGGTAAAAATACAGAAATTATTTTAAAACCTTATATAGGACTAATATTAATTGTTACTATAGGTAATATAAATACATTGAAAGTTCAGAGGTTTCTTAGTACATGAAAACCAACAGGTTTTTATTTCATTATGGTTTGATTTAGATAAAATCTTTTAACTTTCAGGTGGTCTGGAGTCACTGAAAAATCTTCAGCAATTAATTGTGGACCATAATCAGTTAATCAGCACAAAAGGTCTTTATGAGGCACCTACTCTCATTCACCTTGACTGCTCTTTCAATCATCTCACACAAGTTGAAGGCATTGAGAATTGTGGCCTACTTCAAATTCTGAAGTTGCAAGGCAATAACCTCCAGGAGGTAAAAGCTTTGGATTCAGTGGCTGTTTGCATACACTTATGTTGACAGTCATGTTTTTCGGAATGCTGATCATGTGCACATTGCTTGCTGTGGGATGCTTTGTGCTCTTGAGCGGTTTGGTTTTTTTTTCACTATTAGAGTGAGATTTTTCAAAGGTACAAATGGCTCGCAATTAATAACTTCTTTCTCTCAAGTCCTTGAAAAGCTTGCCCTTCAGAAATTATATTTCTGCCCTCTGTTTATAGCATCCAGTCTTCAGTTTGTATTATTTGATGCTGACTCTTTGTTTAAAATGTAACTGAATATTATTATCATAGTTCAGGCTGATTTGATATATGCTGATCCTCCAAAAGTTGAAAATTGTGCTGCAGCATTTCCATTTAAAAATAGAAAGTAGTTTGTTAACTACACTTAGTTGTATTTACTAACAGTGATTCTCTTATGAATCTGAGAGAGGAAAATCATTGTCAATAAGCAGCAAACAAGTGCATGAACAAAATAATGAGACTGTGGCTCTTGTTTTTTCATTGGCTTTTTTTTTTTAATATTGACTTTTCAGACTAGGTAGAAGGCATAAAAAATACTTACAACCTGATATGCAGAAATCTTGTGTGGCAACTGGTACATACATAATAAGGAAATGATACATATATCAAAAACGTGGGGTTTGCTTGTATTTAGTAATGATTTATGAAAAGCATCTGGTAAGCATTCCACTGTTGTTTCTCTAATTTATATTAATTTTAAATAACCATCTCTTTTCTGTTTAGTTTCCAAGACTGGAAAATCATGTTCTCCTTAGAGAACTATATTTGGATGACAATAGCTTTTCTGCTATGAGAATGCTTCCTTTGTACTGGTTGCCTCTATTGCAGATTCTTTTGCTGTCTCAAAATAGGTAAGCATGTATCATTCTTTCACTTACAGAAGTGGCAGAGGGACATTTACTAACGTTAACACTTCTCTGAAAAGTAAAATTCTCAGTGTGATTAAAATATCACTGTGTTTTCCAGATATTTGTTGAAAATATGTGGTTGAAAAGTAATGACACTGGCTACCTTTAGCTAAGAAAATTTAAAAAAGCATATTTTTTCTATAAGATGTGATATGAAAATAATTTTTGAGCATTGTGGCATTATTAAAACCATGGTGTTTCTTATTTTATTTTTTTATTTTTTTTTCCTTTCTTTAGCAATTGTTTCTAGAGTATGTCTGTCAAACTTTGTATTTCACAGCTAGCTTATTCAAAACAGACTTTGCAGGCTATGTTAAGTGTAACTGCTAGAGTTAAAAATGACAGAAAAGAATGGTTTTTATTCTGCATGCATATGTTAATGCCCTCCAAAACGAGCATATTTGCTTTAATTTTTCACTGTTATGGTTCAGTTTGAAAGGTGTAAAATAAAAAAGAAGGATCAAGACAATCATCGTAAGACTAGATCATGCACTCAAGTACTCTGTAATTAGCTTTCTGTTAATTTTCTAAGCTAATCTGTACATCTCTAAAGTTAGGATGACTAGATATTCAGAAGTCAAAATTTTAATTTCCCTACCCCCTTTTTCTCAATTTAAATTCTGCTAAAAAAATAAGGAACACATTATAATTTCCATGTTATTAATAAAATTAATTTTATTAATTTAAAAACATTTTTCTATACTGGGACCATTTCGCTCTGAACAAGATTGATCTCAGCTAAACAAACAGAATATACTTTGCTACACATAATATACACAATATACACTTTGAAGTAATCACATTACTCTCCTGTTAGTGAAGAGGAGATACTTTTAGAGTGGGATTCATCTGCCATTTTTAGTCATTTGCTTTGAGGCTAATCATATCCTACAAGTCCCTCTTCATCTTCACTGACTATTAACAGTCAAAATGACCAGCTCATATGTGGGTGTCTACAGTTGAACAAATTAATCTCATCTCATCCTATGTGATATTTAGTTCAGCAGTCAACTGTATCTGGGAGCCTGTGGGATAAAAGATCTGCAAGACTGAGTCTTGTTATTATAAGGCATTTCCTTCATGGAAAATGAATACTATTTGAGCGCATACAACCTATATTTTTTAATAACTTTTAAGATTGTTTTCATATCATCTCTAATGAAGTGGTGTGCATATAAGTTCTTAGATGTAAATATAACACCTAGTTATATTTGCAGAATCTACTCTTCAAGTTGGTCTTTTAGGTTTGTTATTTTTTTTTTTGTTCTTTTATTAATTCTTCTGTAGTTTGGAAAAAAAATGCTTTCTGCTTGTGATTAACAGGGGCATTACTTGTTAAGCGTTAGATTCTGAATCAAACAAATTGATTTAAGTCCTGTTCTTCAGTTTATTTTTTTTTTCCTTATCCTGATCAGCTTTTTTTTGAAAAGTGCAGTAATGTAGCTCTATCTTTGTGTAGTTTCTTCCTCTTCATACCATTAGTTTTTTGTTAACATTAAGATGTAGCTGTGATGTGTGTAATAAAAAGTGCAAAACTGCTTGAAGACCTCATGTGCCTGCTAGGCAGAGAAAAAACACGAGCACAGTCTCAGGCATAGGTTGAATGCAGCCTCTGGAGCTAGGTTGTGGTGGACTGCCTGCATATACGTACCTTATGTCACTCACCTATCCCATAATCTTACAGTTTTTAATGTTCCTTGTAGTGCTTGTTATGTTTTTCCAGTGGTCAAGCTGAAATGCAGTGTTTGATCCACTGAGCTGGACTGGGAGAAAACACATATTTTTGCAGCAGCAAACTGAATGTGCTGAAAATAAACACATACTTCCTCCCCAAGCAATTCTCTTTCTTTCCTTGGTGTATCTGTAGTTTATCTCAAAACTTTGTGACAAACGGGACAAGATAGCCTTAAATGTGTATTAAAAGCCTTAAAATTCCTGGCGTTTCAGTAGCATGCTCTGTTACACTCACTTTATGTGCACTTATAAGCAGCTCCATATGTGTGCTACAGCATAAGTAACTCGTTCTATAGGAACAGTGAATGTAATGGAGTAAGCTGTTGAAAGAAAAGCTGTTTCTTTACTTTTATCCTACAGCTAGTGCAATTTTGTGAATTTTTTTCAAGTGTGCACTGAGCACCATTTCCTTTCTACTGATTCAGGAAGACCATATAATGGTAATGCTGTGAATCTGTATTCTTTCACAAAGTGAAGTACTGTGAAAAGAAAATTCTTACACTAATTTACAGGATTTTTTTATTCCTGAGGTGCTTTGCCTGCATCGTAAACCAGAAATTGCCAAAGATAAAATAATAAATGCTTTAAACCTGGAATCTAGCAGAAAGGAACTATAATAGAACAGGTAGTGATGAACTCCTTCAAATATAAAAAATGGCAGCTATTTCACCACTGCTGCTTTTATTATTTTACTGTGGCTTTCAAATACAAAGCATATACTTCTCAATATGCAGTTGACCAAAACCAATGGTGAATATCCTCTTGACTTGGTTGTTGGAGAATTGGGACTATGGATATCAATGGTCTATTTTATCACAGCTGAAATCACAAGTTAGTTTAAAAAGGGAACATTTTCCTTTTTCTTCTTTTGTTGATAATGATTTAGGAGTAGGAAAGAAAAAGCTTTCCCCTGTGACTAAAATAAATACATATTTAACATGTATTTCAAGTTCACATGGTATTTATATTTACATTTAATTCCACTTGATTATGTAGCTTACTTGTAAATGTCTTTTTCATTTAGAAGTTTTACAGTGAGGCACTAAATCAGTCTGCTGTTCAGGTAGCCATTGCTTCTGGGGGCTTTTTGGACAACATCAAAATAGAGAAAGCTATCTGTCTTAAAATTTCTGTTTTAATATGGCAATAATATGGAAAAGCCTTTTTTTTGCTATTGCTTGTTTTTCATGAAGATAACCTACCTGTGCTAGCAAAAGTTTTAATATTTAAAAAAAATACAGTCATCTTGCAAAAATTCCTTTTTTGGGGGAAGCTGACTTGGCCAGAATCAAATTCTTTATGAAAATGTTGCCGTCATGTTTTTGCAACTAGATGCATACTATTCCTAAAATTCTTATAATAGAAATGCTAAAAACTTGGCTTAATTCTGTCTTAGTATGTATTGTTCTCCGTACTTCAATATATATGGTATCTATGTTTTTAACCTAATTTCTCAGACATGAGAGTTGAACTCCCTGTCATTGCAAGCCATCATATTTTTAGAATTTGACCTCTTTTACAGAGTTGCTGTAATAAATTTAAATATCAGTGGATGTTGAAATAAGTTAGTATGAAAAAGTTATATTTACAGATAGTGGGGGGGTTTTCCCCATCCCTTCCTTACCAGTGTAGATTATTTTTGATCACTTTCAGTAATTCTTTGCCAGTAATAAATTTAGCTCTAAGTATATGGCAGTACAGTTGAGGTAAGTGCCTACTAGAATATTCAAGAAACAGGTGGCTGACATATTTCCTACATTATATTTGATTACTACTTATAAATATGGTAAATATTGTAAATTAAAAGATTTCTATTTTTAAAGAATGAGGCAGAAATGTGGGGTTTACTAAACTTCAGATTAGGATAAATTTATTTTTAATTATTTAGCCTTTCTTCCTGCTAACTTCTCATTATCTAGATGATAATTTTGCTGGGAAAAATGATGTACAGCAGGATTTGGACCATCCTGAGCAGTAACTGCTGGTCGCATTCAGAAAAGCAATCTTTATTTTGTTCGATGCATACATGCAACTAGTCTCTTAAATATTGTTTTTTAACCTAGAATTTCTCTGGCTATCTGTGTCTTGTCCTGCTACAGACTTAAATGGGAGCAGAAAGAGGAAACTATAGTTTGCTTTTTTGTGAATATCTTTTTCTTTCGTGTCTTCTTTGTAATTTATCTCTCTCTTATGCCCAGGGCTAATGTGACAAGGTCAAGTAGTATTAAGTTTTCAGTAATGTCCTTTGTCTTTCTGGTTTGAATTTTCTTAGGAAAAAAATTAACAAAGAACATCAGCAAAAGGAAAGCTATAGAATGACGGGGAAACATTTTAACTCTCATAGTGCCAATGGCAGGCAAGGATAGTCCAGTAGACATTTTCTAATTCACCACAGCATATACTGATAAAGATCTAGAGAACTCAGTCACTGTAAATGAAAAAATGCATCATTATCTTTCATCCTTTGTGCAAAGTATGACATTTATTTTCCTGGGTATTTCTGAGTATGTGACTCTATAATCTGAATCATGGATTTTCAGTCTTTGCAGCCATACTGTTAGCCATTAATATCTATGATGGTATTTGTTACAAATATTAAACATATTTATGTACTATTGACTGGTCATGAGAATCTAAAAGACTGGTATTTGCAGGACTGCATACAGTTCTACATAAAGCTGCATGCTTTTTTAGAGTTAATATTTCTTCATATTTATTTGATTCCATGGAAAACTGGCAGGGAGGTAGTAGAACTAAATAGGACTAGAAGCAGAACAACTTTACAGTATGGTTCGAGAAACAAATGGAAGTATACTGAGACATACTCAATTGCTTTAAATCTGTTTCTCTGCATTTACTACTAAAATGTTATGTTGTTTTATAGAAATACTCATCAACTGAATGTGGAATATTTTAATTTTTTTTTTTTTTTGCGTAAAGTCAAATGTTCAGCAAGATTAAAGAATCTACAACCAACATTTGGTCCCAAATTTGTGTACCAGAGTTAAATCCAGCTCTGTCTTTAAGCTGTAGTGTCTATGCTGAAATACAACATAGCCGCACATTTCAGCAACAAATAAGTATTTTTGACTCTGACCACTTGTATGTTTGTGGAGAAAATGGGTTTTTCTTTTTGCATGTTTATGTTTCGGACCATAACAATTCTGATTTATAGCTCTCAGAAGCACTATAACCCTCAGAAAATACTGTTTTTCATGAAAATGTGTGTGTCACAAAATAGACACTCACATTGCTATCGGCGTTACCTTTCTCTTATTATGCTCAGGCCTTGTCCTTACAAGGATGAAAGATGTAACCTAAGTGTGTATTTTTTTTTTTTTTTAAAGATAGTTAATATAGTACTTGCTTATATATAAACATTCTAGTTTTAGTTGAAGACTGGTTTATTTTGCATCTTGATTTTAATTTTACCTCCCTTTTTCATATTTAACATAAATCAAAATAAATGTTTAAATCTGAAAAGTAATATTTGCAAATAGCCTGGCAGTTGACCAACCCATTCAGCATTCCTTATTAGTTGCACCAGTGCAAGTTTGTAAGTAAAAAAACCTTGTTTTAATAGTAGTGATAATAGACACCTTACAGTCCAAAATCTTTTGTACAGATGAATATAAGCTCAGTTTCCTTATGTTTACCTTTCAATAAAATTTTTGAAGACAAGTAAAAATTTTGTCATGGCTTTACTCATGCTTTGCTGCTTTGTTGCACAAGAAAAGCAATTTCATAACTGTCTGTATAATAGGCATCTGACACTGTCTGACAGTAGTAGTAAGACAGAGAAAGTACGAAAAATACATTACAGAACAGTGCAGTCATGACTTGTAATACAACTATGACAATGATTAAGTTAGGTTTAGGATCTAGGCAGTAATGATGAGTGGAGAAGAGAAACAAGCTGACAAGAAGTTTGAGCAATGGGACATGTAGGAAGAGGAAAGAGAAAAGCAGATTTTATTTCCTCTCCAGACTCAAGGTCTTCTGTTAGTTTCATTGTAGTTATGGTACCTAAAGAAGCCAATTGAGTTGTCTAAATTTTACAAGACTTCAGATCAGCTGTAAATGCATGAAACAGAATAAAATTTTTACCAACTAAACAAAACCAATAATGAGCAAGTATTAAAAACAGAGCTAATGACAAGACTAAGAAATGCTTTCAAGTTAAAATTTCAGTAATTAGTTCTAGCACCTTGGATAGCTGAGTATTTTTTCTATGTAAATAAGCAAATTGTCATGACTATAAAACATCCTGGTCACCTTCTGTTTATGAACTGATGTTTTATTTAATTGAAAACCCAAAACCTTTCTGTTTTGTTCTTAGATTAACTGAGCTTGTGCCTTTGAATTCATTTTTATCTTTGGAAAAGCTGGATATCAAAAATAACTGCTTGTCAGGTGAGTTGTATAAAAAATACCCATAAACCCCCATCCAAACAAAACTTTCTTAAATAAATTCTTACTTGAATTTTATTGTTCCTATCTGAGACATTTATACAGAAAACATATGAATTTTCCATACATGTATGTTACAGATAATAATTATAACTATACTGTATAGGAAGCAGAATTGCTTGTAGTACTTCATGATTTTGGTACAGTTGACTTTCATGTAAGATTTAAATGGTTCTGCATTCAAATTTTAATTTCATTTTCTTTCCTACTACAATACAGACCTTGAAAGTGTCATTTCGTGGTTAAGTGGCTGTCAAAAGCTAAAGGAGTTGTCACTCAGTGGAAATCCTATTCTTCAAGAAAGAAATTGGAGGTAAGAAACTGATTTGCTAAATCAAAAAAAAATCAAAATCAGCCAAAACCTAGGTGTATATACATATTGCTCATCAACCAAAATCAGCCAAAAACTTAGGTAAAAACTAGAAATGAGGAAATATGAACACCATGATAATTTGGAAGAGAATTATATGAAAACAACAAAGAAAATTCAATTCTGTGATCTTTGTTTTCTAAGAATTTCAGTTTGTCGTTTTACTTAAACAAAAATCTTGATGTTTGACCTAACACTTGGAACCTTATTAATAAGCAGTTTGTGCTAAAATTCGACAGTGGTCTCTCTATTCTGTTTACCTGTTATTCTGAATGTGTATTTGTAACTGCTTCTTTGTCCATTGATCACAACATCTTCCTTCTAGGCAAGAATTGTTCGCCTTTACTGACAAGTTTACCACCTTTGGTAACTTCAACTTTCTGGCCGGTGTTTTGTCTGACTTCATTACCCTGTTTTACATTTCATTAAAATTTCTGCACAAAGACATGACTATCCACTCAACCTTTTTCTTCTTCTATCTGCACTATTTAAGAACTTTATTTTATCTTGATTATCAGTGGTCTTATACTGCTTACTTGCCCTTCTTATAACCATCAGCTTCTTATTATCACAAAGCTTCACAGAGTATTTCTTTTTCTGGGTTTGTTTTTTTTTTTTTCATTTATTCCCTTCCATCACTTCATCCATTCACTGCTTAACCATCTTGTTGCTTTCTCAGGTTCAAAGTACACATAGCTAGAGAAAGGATGGTGTCAATAATAAATGTATGAAAGAAACCTTGGCTTAACATATTTTAAGGAAAAAAAATTTAGAAGAACAAAAGGTTGGAATGAATTGTTGCATTTTCCTTAGTAGTTGAAGCTTAGATTTTTTTTTCTTTTTCTGAGATTTATCTTTACACTAAAAATTAATAGTTCATATGATTATGAGACACAGGTGTAAAAATAATGCTGTTTGTTGGCTTCCAGTAATGTGTAATACTTAAAGAATAATCTGGGGGAAAAAAAAGGCTGATCCTAGACACCAGCTATATATACAAATATATACACATACACAGTTGGACGGTGATCGTAAAGATTTTTTCCAACCCAGTTAATTCTATGATTCTCTATGTGAATATATAAAAACTGGATAGGGTAGAAAGGAAACTTGGCATATGAAATGAGATACAGTCACCAAAATCCCTGAAATGAGCAGTTGTGATAGCATTGTATTTGTAAGCCATATTAATAAAATTGTACATGGATAGTTCTTTTTGATTTTTGGGGGAGGTTTGTTGTTGGGTTGTTTTTTGTTTTGATTTGTTTTGTTTATTTTAGTAGAGGTTTCCTTGTTTCTTGAAAATTCTGTGGTCTGAAACCCCATACATGGCCCAGTGTCATCAAGACTTGAAGCTGTCTGAGAAAATTGGTCAGCAAAAGCACAGTAGTGCAGTTATTTTAATATGAAGTGTTCTTTCATTTTCCTTAGAATTAGCCCTTTCTAATCTACAAGCCTTAAAGAGCAGAACAAGCCAGAAATACAATTTTAGATATTTTTAGGTGATTTTCCCGAATATGTGTATTGAAATGGTAGTGTCTTTTTATGAACTCGTACTATAATTCCCTTTAATGTGCAAAGAAGCATTTAATCATTAAAAATTTAAATCATTATCAATTCTTTCAGTTAAGGAAATCTAGTATTTACCTAGGAAAGTGTTGACATAATAAAATTGGAGGACATGTAATGAGACACAACAGTTAGACTTCCATTTTTTATGTAATTAATTTTTTTTTTACTAGAAAAATGTGATTTTTTTTTTTTAAGCTTAGCAGTTTTGAAGAATGACCAAAGTTATTCTTTGTATCATTGCGAGTCAGTTAAAGATGACGCTTTACACTGCAATGTTACACAAGAACACGTTTAGATAAATTGTAATCAAATTTGCTATATTAGGTTGCATATTTTAACAACAGCAAATTTTGGGGTATGTGTGTTTTGGCACATGTCTTGTAAAAGGAAAAAAAAGCAAACAAAAAAACCACTCTTAGATGCATATATTACATTATAAGATTTTTGCACAATTTTCTGATTAGTATTCTGGTGGAAAAAAAAGTCCTCTTTGAAACGTTTAGTTGGAAATGAATCATTTAAAAGATAGCTGTACAAGCACATTCTTGGTTGTTGGTTTCTTTTTTAATGAACAGACTTCTTTGCACTCCCATGGTGCCTGCAGGTAATTTTGTGAATAAAATTCTGTGACTGTGACAATATTTTAAACTCCTATGTGCATTATTTTAATTCCCACTATTTTAAAGAACTAGCTGTTATTTCACTAGTAACCTTGAGGGGAAAAGTTTTCAGAATTCCAATTTAACTGTAAGAACTGACACTTAGGATTGCTCGACCAATAGAGCTTTTATGATTAGACAAGAGATTCATTTGTCTAAAGGATTTAAAGTATGGGATACTATAAAACATGGATTTGCTGAATACAGCATTGATCGTAACTTCAGGCTATATGTTCTAGTGAACTTTACATAACCCCTTGATACCAACAAAGGAATTAATTGTAAAATTTCCCAATTGGTTTTGTACTTTCATGTCCAGCCAGCGATAACACCAACAAAAGTGAAGTAGTAAGAAACTGCTTTTTAGAAATTAAACCCTGGGATCAGTCTGATCACTCCTAGGGGAATGTGTTTCAATGCTGTAATGATTAATAGAGCCTCTTAAGTGACACAATATTCACCAGGAAGTTTTCACTAAATGAAATATCGACTCAGCCCTTCACCAGGAGAAACCCAGCTGGAAAAACTAGTGTTGAGATCCCACAGCTCTAAGCCACCATACTTCCAGCATCAATCAACTTTGATATGGCACTTTTGTATGTATCACTATTTAACATCAGCTTTGGCAGTTTCTCTCTATGTGTTCAGGGACAGTCTATCTAAACCCATTGTTTTATTCCAAATGCATTTCAGATAGTATTAGTCTTATACTAATTGACAGTAGAGAAGGAAAGTTTGATATTTTCAAAAAACTAATATTCTATTGAGCAACATTTTTGAATATTCAAACTCAGTCACAGAAACTGATTTTAAACTTAGTGTATATTGTCTAAGCTGAGTAATAGTCCTTGACCTTCACAGCAAATAATCAGGTAGTTCTAAAATTTTGGAAATTGCATTATCTTTTTTGATAGTAAGGGGACTTAAAGCCTACAATAAGTACTCTTTCAAGTGTTACTAAGTCTAACTTAATGAAAATATCAAGTGTGGATGGATTGCTTTAAACAGTTTTGAAATCTTGAAACTGTTGACAAATTTGGTCTGGTGTAAGAAATAGACTATCTAATATTTCAAAATAACCTAAAAGACTGGGCATAGATTATACTTTTTTTTTTTAATTGATAGACAAGTATCTCATACATATTTTTTTCTTACATCACTGGCCCCAACTGTCCTTTTCATAGCAAGGAAATGTCATCTTTACTGTCATCCCTGACATCTCCATTCACTGACCCAAATTCAGTATTTCAGAACTGGAAATTTTTTTCCTGTCAGTTGTACTGAATATCATATTGCTTTATGCAAATGCTTTATATGCAATTATATCATATTTATATCCTTTATATACAATTTATATTGTATTTATGTCATTATATGCAATTTTTATAATATTGCTTTATGTGCAAATGGTAAAGGGAATACGACTGACAATATTTAGTATTCTGTGAAGTTTTTATATCTAAGCCTTTCAATGGTCAACAAAATCAGTGCTGTATCTTAATCCTATGGCTTTGCTTGCTGTGTTAGCTACTAATCAAATGTTACAGGTGCCTATGAACAAGTGTGTCAAATTTTCCTCTTACCGTTGAAGTAGGCAAAATGCTAGCTCTAGTTAATTGAGAATGTTGCCATTGACCTCTCTGGAGTCAGTATTTCAGCAGTGCTCTTTATATCAACAAAGTATTAAGAAGTCTTGTTAAGTTCTGTAGTTTATTAAGAATAATGTTTTTAGTTAATAAATTAGTATATGGAGTAATGACAAATATATATATGTACTTAGAGAGCTATCAATTTGTTCTGTTATGTTTGTATCAATAAAATGGGAGGTTTAGCAATAGATGCTTTTTGTACAAATGATTGCAACTTTTTCTTTTCTAAGGCCTTCCTTTTGTAAGGTCCTTCCTAGTTTACAGTTTCTTGATGGTGAAATCTTAAACTATAATACTTTACCTACAACTGAAAGGATCAGAAAATCAGAATCAAGTACTTTTATGGAACTTTGTCAACTTCAAATTGAAGAAAATGTTCTACTGAAAAAAAAGGCTGCTGAACTGAGGTATGTATGTGAATATAAATTACATCAAAAATATGTTTTCATGTATTGTTAGTGTAGTTCTTGGCATCTTACCAATTTTCCTTATCTTTTTGCCTGGAAATGTTAAGAAAGAGATTAGAATCATCAACTCCAGTGCAAAGAGTATTTCAGACAGGCATTAAAATATTTAAGTTTGTTTGTTAATATGATTAACATAGTTAATATGATTAACATAGTTTGGTTATTGGTGGGATATATGGTCCGCTTTTTCCTGCATTTGTTTCCTGTGTCTGTATTATTCACGTTCTAAATGACTGAAAAAGGTTTGACCTCTTTTCTCTTAAAGTAGCGAACCAGATGTCTCTATTTCTACATCTTTGATTTTTGTCACATTTACTCCCTTTACCTTTATTACCATGATCAGTTGTCCGGTGACTTCAGCTTAGACATTGCAAGTGGTAATTTATCATTTATACCTATCTTTTCACCTCTTTACAATATCTAAGTAGCTCAAACTTCTCGTGTTTGTAGTCATCCTCCTTTGTGGTAGAGAAAACTTTCTTATGTCTGAGATTTAGGACCTGTTTCATCAGTATTATTTGAGGGAAAAATGCTAGTCTGTAATTAGGATGTGTCTTGTGAGAGAGTTGTAGTAAAATCTAAGGACCTAACTTTTCCATGCATGTCTGCAAGATCATCAGAATGTGAGGGAATGATGGTATTCACAAAGTTTAATGGTTTATTTAACGATGGTATGCATGAATGGACATCTACAAAGGTAAGAAATTTGTTCGATAGTCAGGCTCAGACCATCCATTAACTATTAATAGTTAATGGAATGGCTCATGCTGCTTTATGGAAACTGACATGTCCGTCTGACATCTTTATCAAAGACTTAGAGCAGGAGGTAGAGTGCATGCTTAAATGTGGTTGCAGATGACAGCAGTTTGGAAGGAACAGTTTACATGCCTGAGGGCAGAGCTGTTGTTCAGAAGAACCTAGGCAAGCTGGAGAGGTAGGCCAGCAGGATCCTTGTAAATTCAACATGGACAAATGCAAAGTTCTTTCTTTACCTTGAAAGGAGTGACTCTTTGGAACAGTACTGTCTGGGACTGACTGAGAAATGTCTCTGCTGAAAAGGATGTTTGGATCTGGGTAGATAAGAAACTGAATGTGAATCAGCAATGTGCCCTGGCACCAAGGAAAGTTAAGAACATCCTGGGTTGTATTTACAGAAGCATAGCCAGTAGGTTGAGGAAGGTTATTTCTTTTTCTTCAGCCCTTATTAGCTCGCAGCTGGAATACTGTGTTACATATTTTGGGTCACCAGTACATAAAAGACATTGATAAATTGGAACAAGTTTGGTGCATTGCCCCTTGGATAAAGCTCTGAGCAATCTGGTCTGATCAGAGAATCAGGAGGTTAGATTTGAGACCTCCTGAGATTCCTTCAACTGAGATTTTTTCTGATTCAGTGTAAGTTTTTCTTGAAAGAGCTTTCAGATGTTTGAGAAGAACAATAGTCAGAAGAAAGAATTATGTAAATGTCTCTTCTTTCCTGAATGTATGCTTTGGTGGAGGAGGTGGAGTGAGGGAGAGTTGTGGGGTTTTTAAGGTTTTGAGAATTCATTCACAAGCTTAGAAATTGGTAACTGTGGCATGGTTGAAGCATCTTGTATGAAATCTAGTCTTAAAGTTAATTTCTTATGTGTTAAAGCCCACTATGTTTTATTTTGATTAAAAGTATGATTTATGGATGATTTGAAAACCGTTGAAAACTGCAGTTCATAAAGGGAACTCTAAACAACTTGTTTGTATATAAACCTTTACAGCATAGCTATTATATGTACATACTGCAATACTTCGACTGAATTAATGTGACGTTGCTAAAGAACAGGCCAACAATAGAGCAAACTTCTCTGTTTCACATCTTGCTAAGTTATGAGCCCCTGTAGGTGTGACCTCAAATATGTAAGCTGCCAAAAGTAATCACTGCTTGCTTCCCTAATCCATGTTTCATAAACCACTGCTGGCCAATTATTGTCTGTGCTGTTTCTGCCTGAAACTTCACTGTTCTGGCCATGCTTAAGAATGAAACATATTGTAAAATTAGACTTCTCTATTCTAATAAATGCTTTCTGTCACATAATCTTTAGATGTCTAGTAGTGAGTCATTGTATAAAAAAATTATGCAATACCTTAGCTGCAGTAATTTGCTTTCAGTCATCAAATATGCAGATGTCTGGCTAGTGGAACTTAAAGTTTATAAATACTGTATGTATAATACAGTGAAAATGACAGGAATTTCATAAACGGTATTGCAGGGATAGAGTCTGTAAACAGTGCCTTCTTTCATGTGTTTGCAAGGGACTTTTGTAACCCACAAGTGAACATCAGTGATGATGCTTATAGAAGTTTTGCCAAAGACAAGTTAGATTTTACCACACTATTACGAACAAAAGCTCAGTTAAAATTGGAGTGTACTATTTATTAGAATTACGGAAATCACAGAAGAGCTGCAAAAGGAAAAACATGACATGAAGCAAAATTTAATGGGTACACAAGCTAACACACGAAGGAGCAGAATATTATTTATGATTCAGCTACAGTGGCCAGGAAAATACTGCCATTGCTGACTAGACCAGGCTTGTTTGTCCTCTATCCATTTTGCCTCTGAGAGGTTTATTCTGCTACTTTTCCGTATAAATTTCATTGTCTTAGTTGGACAAAAGGATGCTCTTGTAATAAGATGACAGCAAGTAGGAAATTCTATACAAAATGTGTCAGCTCAGTAAGCAAGCTTCCACAGTTACCTTAAAACTTTGTAAGTGGCAAAATTTTGGCTAATTTAAACTCCTAATTTAAAGGAGGAATTTCTTGTCCATTTCCATATCTGTTAAGTCAGCCTGTGCCTGGCTACTTACACTTTCTAGATGGTGTCAGTGGGGGTTTGCTCCTCCCCACCTTTACTTTTCCCTCCCCAAATACTGCATGTGAAGCTGAGCAGAATTTGGTCTATATTAATCAAGCCGACAGTGATGAACACTCTTGGTGGACTGGTTGTAGCAGTCATTAATAAATGCCTGTATTGGATTTCCAGACAGATTAAGATCTGACTCAAATGCTTTTATCTTTACTCAAAGTCCTTGCAAAATCCTAGCACAAGTTGAGAGGTATCTTCTTGGTAAGAAAGCTGCAGGTAGCTTTGTGCTCTTAGCATTTGTTTGCAAAAGTAATGTCTTGGTCTTTAGGTATTATTGGGGCCACTATTCTAGCACATTTGTACATTGCTATGAAAGACACATCCCTTTGTCTTCTGACTTGTTAACCCTTTCCTCCACTGCAAAAGCAGTGCGTCTTTTGTGGCTGTGCTGAAATTTGAACCACTGAGTATGAGTGAATGTGCTGGTCAAAGCTGCAAGACCTAAAAATTTTACTATAGCAATACTGTATGGGTACTGACACTTCTATCAGGATAATCTCATTTCTTGTTTTGTCAAGATGTCAGTTTATGCTTAAAACCTTGGTTATAGCTTAACCAACAAGCAATTCCAGAAGAGTTATTGTGACCAGACCCCTTGACCTACTATGCCAAAAGAGGTCTGAAAGGCAAACAAACAATTAGCATTAACTGAAAAGGAAATGGTGTGGTATCAAAAGTCTCAATACTGCAGTATTTTTTACTTTGTCTTCTCTCTTTCCTTACATGTGAGGGTTTTTTGTTTTTTTTTTTCCCTTAAAGAAGTAAATCAGTTGTGCATATTTTCCATTATAGCAGCTTCCTATCTGTGGTTTGAGTAAACAGTCTTCAGAAACGTCTCTAGTATCAAGAATGCAGTCCTTCTGAGACACTGAGAAAGCTGCAGTGCATTGATAGGATAACTGTACCCCAAGCCTATTGAACATTTTTTTTTTTCTCCAGAACTCTTTGAAATCCCTGTTCACCTAAGGGAACCACCAAGCTGACTGCTACCTAGCACTTGCGTCCTATCTTAATATTTGTTGTCTGCGTTTTGGAGCTTCACTTTTGCAGGGGAATCCCAAGTACACTTACCAAGCCTCTTCATTGCTTATAGTTCTCTGAGATGTCACTGCAGCTTCCCTTGTAGTTTCTTGATACTGAGGCTGATCTGACTGCCTTAAAAGAAAGCCACTGGTATATGGGGAACAGCCTAAAAATCCTGAGAAATCAGTACAGTTGTGGATTGCCAGGGAATGTGTCAGCTGGGAAACAGGGTGCATGCCCGCAGTGACAAGACTATTTTGCAACTGCTGTTTGGAAAAGCTGCTCAAAAGCAACCTTTGTGAAAAAAATAACACAGGATCCCCAGTGACCATACGGTTACTCCTCCCTGCCTGAATTTTCAATTGCCTTCAGCCTTCCCTTCCATTTCTGCTTCCCACATTCGTAGCCACTGGAAGGGTGAAACAGCTGCTTGGGATGGCCCTGCATCTGTCAAAGGAGAGGATGTGCAAGTATCCTTTTCTGTTCACTGTTTTTTATTTAGCTCAATATATAATACATTCTGTTTTTTTTCCGGCAATATTTTAATCCTCAAATAAACAAACGAAAACAAACCAAATAAAGAAAAGGTGGAAATTAATTATATTCTTTTTTCTTTTTCTTTTTTTTTTTTTGCATTCTCACCATAGTATTTTTTGTAGAAATTTTGTAATGATGTACCAAATTTATATTTTGAAATACCTTAGCTAATTTAAAGCATTAAACTAATGCTTTACATATTTCATGTTGAAGAAATTACTATTCTTACTGTGCAGTTGCAGACACCTAGAATTTATTAGATCCTTAAGTGAATGTATGCATTTGTTTAAATATTTTTTAAGAATTATCATATTTGTGGAATTAGCAGGAATAGGACTAATATTGTGTAACAGGTAATCAAATGTACAGCTAATGCACAGTGAGTTGTGTAATTAGGCTGTGTGGATTTGGCTTCCTATTTAGTCATTCATATTTTGTCCAGTAGCACTGAAGTTGCACTAGGAGAGGAAGGTGTGGAATGTTTTTTAGTCTTGTAAGGTCTGATTCTATATGTTCTTAAAAATCTGAAAAAAATATTAGTTGAACTTCACTAGAGGAAATAGTTGTATAGGTTAAGAGTCTTTTTACAATGAAACCTTATAAAAGCTTCCCCTTTCAAGAATGATGAACAGGAAAGCAAATTGTTATTCAGACTCTAATCTTAGGACCTGATTTTCCAGATTCCTGAGAATTGATCTTATTTCTATTTTTACTCTTTCTACCAGATTAAGATCTCTGCTTGTATCTTTATTATCAAAGGAAAAATTTTCATTATTCTGAAGGTACCTTCTACCTAATACAAGGGACAAACACTGTCCTAATACAGTCTTATGAATCTGTAACAATTTCTTCATATTTACTTTTATTCATTCTTGTAATTTAGATGGTGTAGCACAAAAAATTAATGAGATAGACTTTGTAGATCAATGCTGCTTCAGTCTAGTTCCTTTCCTTACACTGACAAAAATGTCTATACCAAGAAGCTTTTTTTTTTTTTTAAATTCTCTTTAGCATTGTGGTTTGTTGGTTTGAATCTAAGTTTGGGGTATGTTGATGTAGTTCTAATCTAAAATGTAGAATTACTGTTATTTTTATATTAGCTGTCATAGTTTCCAGATAAAATTGGATTATTAAGGCTATTACAGCATGTGTAACAAAATTATCTCAAATCCTCTAAAATTTTCAGCTTCATATGCCTCTAGCCACATGTAAAATTAACAGTGAAATGCATGCCCTGGTGTCTGTTTCAAACAGACTGAAACCTTTAAAAAAAAAAAAAAGTCAGAGTAAAATAAGCACTCTAATATATGAGTGTACGGTAAAAACTGCCAAAAAAAAAAAAAGTCAGATTAAAACAAGCAATCTAATATATGAGTGTATTGTAAAAACTGCCAAAAAAATAAAAGAAAGAAAATGGGATTTATAAATACTGAAAATGGTTTTCAATCACAGTAATTATTGTTCACTGTAAGGATATGGAAACATATAAGGATACTTTAAAATACAAGTAGTTTAGAAAACAATAGAGGGAATATATTTTTAAAAAATCATTCTTACATTTTGAAACATGTAAAGATGTTTTTGTCTTTTTTTTTTTTCAGAATTGCCTCTTCTATCAATTCAGCACAGGGACAATGCTGGTATTTTAATCAGTTGATAAAACTTAGCATTAAACATCGATATGCACATGAGTATGGTCAACTAAACATTACTGACAGAGATGGACCAGAAGCACTGCAAAATCATCTAAAGCAAACATCTACTGGCTGCCTACAGGAAAATAACCTCTTTATCATGGGTGCGACCGAAAATAAACAGGTCTTGTTGGATCCTTCCAAAAGATGGATTGCTACTGGCCATACTCAGGCCACATTCATTAACTCCTCTGTACCTGTGCACCGAAAGGAAAATAAAGAACATCAGAAAGTGAAGCAGACGAGCACTGAATCTTGTATTAATTACAGTGGGGAGAGCAAAGGCAACAATAACATGTCAGCCGAACTCATGTTGCAACAGTCAGTGATAGTAGTAAGTAATGTGGGAAAAGATCTTCAGCATTTTGAGAATGATACAGAAAGGTAAGAGAGATGTCAGACTGCTTTCAAATAGATTAACTGGATAGGCAATAGGAGTGAGGATTTCTTCTTTAAAACAGAGGCACAGAACTTGTAGTAAGGAAACTATTTTTACAATTATTAGACAGTGAAGAGTTAATTTAAAGAGGTGTACATTAGAATTCCATATTAACAACAATCCTTTGTGGTATTCTGTCAGTTGATATATTAGAATATAGATATATATGTACTTAAGATAATTTTTAAATACTGTCTAACGAGAATTTGAAAACTTCCACTTGATCTCCTACTTTTTTCTTTTTTTTTTTTTTAATGATAAATTTATGACACCAATTCAATGACATATTCAATATTAGAGATGAAAATGCTGGATGGTTTGTAGAAATGTTGGGTCAGTTTACAAAGTGTAAGGCTTTTTTGCTGTACTGTTCATTAGACATTCAAGATTCACTTGTGTAGAGTTTACTGTCAGTATAGTTTAGAAGGCAAGAGGGAAAAGTTGCTTAGATCTGCCATCCTACTCCCTTGACCTTAGGCCAATCTCCTGCTGTTGTGATGACTGAAGAGCTAACAGCCTGCCCTGCCCTTGGTACTCCTCCAACATGCTTCAACCTGCTTCTTAAAGGCAGGGGTGAGAGGCCAGTTCAACTTGTTCTGTGCCCCCAAATATTCTCATGTATGAAACAGACTGGTTTATTATATCTTTGGAATGTGTTTGCTGCTGGTTAGTATGGTTCTGGATTTATGGCCAGGGAAAATAGAATCTGAAATTTTTGCTCTAAATGTACAAAAATTCAGTTATGGTTCCATAAGAACTCTGTTTCAAAAATACATGTTTTGAGAATGCTATGAAGAACAAGCATGAAAGGTATGCTTCTTCATGATGCTTAGACTTAGAAGTAGTGCTTAGTAGGTACTTAAGACAATAATGATTCATCATAACATTTATTATTCAGGAAGACAATTGAATTCATCATTGCCTCTCAGGAAGTTGAAAGTACAAGTACAATAGTAAAATAGTAAGAGTACAGTAGTCTATTGTGGAATATGTATGCTTCTGAAAAATCTTTTTGAAATAGCTCATTTAGAGTTTTTAGTTAATATTTTAAATGCTTTCTGTTAGTCGTTGAACAGTTCTCTTCAATCATAGAGTCATAGAATGGTTAGGGTTGGAAAGGACCTTAAGATCATCTAGTTCTAAATCCCCTGCCGTAGGCCAGGATGCCTCACCATGTTGCTCAAGGCTCTGTCCAACCTGGGCTTGAACACTGCCAGGCATGGAGCATTTTCCACTTCTTTGGGCAACCTGTTCCATTGCCCCACTGTGCCCTCACAGTAAAGAACTTCTTCCTTATATCTAACCTGAACTTACCCTGTTTAAATTTGAACCTGTTACCCCTTATCTACTGCTACAGTCCCTGATGAAGAGCCCCTGTCTGGCATCCTTGTAGGCCCCTTTCACATCTTGGAAGGCTGCTATGAGGTCTTCATGCAGCCTTCAATGCAGGATGCAAACCGCTGAGTGGTTGTTTTTTAACTCAGCTACTGCTTTTTATAGATACAAAGCTTATAAATAAATCATGTTTGGGGTTGGCAAAATTAATAAACATATTTTAAAATTCTGGCTTAACCCCTGAAGTGTGCTTTTGTTTTCTGAAAAGTACACCTCTATGTGCATGCTATAGATGCACTACACAGGGAAAGTAACATGTAAAGACTGGAGGAAATTTACATTTCTTTTCTTAAACCCACTGTCCAAATAAAATGAGAATTTTATGAACAAAAGGATTCCAAGTCATAATGCAGAGCTGCCATTAAGCTTTTCCTCTATCAGTACAAATTAATTGAACATATATTTATAAAGCTCAATCATTCAAATATAGTAAGATATTTGTATGTAATAAATAGAACAAATATAAATAGCATGTAATCAGTGCTTGTTAATCACTGAGCAAATTAAGAAATGTACACATATAAGCAGTGGTCACTAGTGTTAAAGTGAATGGTATAAGTAGGCAAAGAATGAGATTGAACTTTCTGTTTTTCCTGTTTACTCTATTGGAGATATTTGTCTCATGCAGTTTTCAGCATTTAGCTCTCTTTAGTTTTGTTTTTTTTTTTTTTCCTTTTGGACAGTGGACATAAGTGGACCCCTTCAATAGTTTATTCTGTCATTGTTAAACCCCTTCATTTTAGGAGATTCTTCCTCTCCAGTGAATATACAGGGAACAGAGCCTAGTGGGAATTAGTCCACTTGGATATTTGGATTTTCAAAGCTATGTGATGTGAATATCCTCCAGTGTTTCTGAACGTACATGTCACATCTGCATTGTACTTTCTCAACGGTCTAATAGCAGTGCCTTCCATTTGTCTCAACGCATAGTACTGTGCTTTATGGTTGTAATTGACAGCTATAATAATCCAGTGTACTGTTGAGGCTATGTCATTCATAAAAGTATTTATATCTCTGTAAGGCTACATATGGCAGCATCAGTGATCCAGTCTTTTTGGCGGCAGTACCATGCCAGGAGGAAAACCGACTGCATAAAACCAGAGAATCATCACTTTATCGAGTCTTTGAGACAGAAGCATCAAGCTGCCACACTAATCCAGGTTGGGTTATGGTATTCTCTTTACTTTATAAATTTCATAAGAAAAAAAACCTTACTAGTTTTGTGTACTTGTCATCTTCTATTTTTGTTTAAGATTTTATTAGTGAAAGATGAATAGTTCATAATTAAACATTTATCATCAGCTTAATATTTCTAAAAGAGAGCCTTCTCTACAAAAAGTTTAATAGAAGCATAAAAATGTTTTCACTTTTTCACTATTTCCCTGAATTAGTTTTGCTTGATTTAATTCTCATATTATGCTTAAGACATGCTGTGCCCATGTTCTTACTGGGGCATGTCTATGCTATTAAACTAACAGATGCTCTGTAACTGGTACATCATTTATGATAGCCATACAACTAACTATTCTTCCCATCTCTTCTATTTTATTAATCTATCACTTTCCCTCTCTCCCCATCTTCAGAACCCAGGATTGCCCTGTCCATAGTGACACTGGGAGCAGACCATGGCATAGGCTGTCCTATGGTACATAATGAGCTAAGAGTTAAACAGAATGGATTACTATGTGCAAGAATTGAAGTCCATGCCTTGACTCTGTTTAGTTTGCTAACCAGTTTACTTACCTGCAGAGTTCATGGGGTTCATGGGGTTTTCTGCGTTTTTAAACAAACAGACCCTGTATTGATTCCAGATTTCAAGTTATCTTAAAAGGATTCTATATTGTAAGTCTTCTATAAAAATGTCAACAGTGCCAAAGTGATTTAGGTTTCTAAGTTCTATTTTCAAACTGAAAATCCAAGTAACTCATTAGTATCTATGCAACAAATTGGCAGTAGCAAAATGTTTAGTAAATGTGCATACTAAGAAACAGGATGAGTACAGAATCATATTACAGCAGTCAGTTATCTGGGAAGTTGAGCTAAAATTTTTCTCTGGAATATAATGCTTAGCCTAGTATATTATTTGATCTCCATAAACTTTATAAACTTTTAAACTTAGTTATGTATTTGACTTATATTACATATTAAAGTGAAGTTTCGCAAATTCATATAGTGATTAAAATGTCCTTCCTTTCATTTGTTTCAGACCTCAGAATTCCATGTTAGTATGAAAATAGTCTTTCACTATTTATCTTCTGTGTATTTCATGTTTTTTAAAATCTCTTTATATCCATTCTTATGTTCGTTCATTTGTAAATAAAAGTTTAGTCCATTTATTCTCTTTATGTTACTCTGTACTTTTTATCTTTTTGTCTCTCTATGAACCTTTACTTCATTCTATTATAACCTTTTTTAAAGTGATTAGAACTGAATTCCATGGGAAGATATATCATGAATTTGTTCTGTAAGGCAGTTTTCATCTTCTTTCTTAAAAACTAATATATAATTTTTATTTTTGATCGTGAATGAGCACTGATGTGTTGCTTTCATAGATCTTTGTTAACAGCTGCCTTACAGGTTATCCTTCTGCGTATACTATTAGGATTCCTTTTCTCCTTTGCATTTGTAAAAACTGATCATATTTGTTGTATTAAATATATTTTTACATGTGATCACTCAGTAACCTAAGGATATTTTATCGGAATAGTTATGAAGATCTGTAGGAAAATAGGAACAATTAAATTGTAAGAAAGCAATTCTAACACATTTAATCTTTTTTTTATAATAATCAGGAATTGTGTGTCTAAAACCAGTAGCATTTTCGATATCCTATGCAGTTAGACAATAGTTTCCTAAAAATTAATAAGCTAAACATTAAGACAGAATATAAGATTTAACCTTCCTATTTTTAGTGCCTTCATTGCAAAGCTATTAAATGTGGACTACACTACATCTTTCAGCAAAGTGAAAATTTTTTACATGGTGCTTTAAATGCTTAGGGTGTCTTGAACTTCAATGGTGTCAAACACTGATTTGGAGGAAAATTGCAGTCCTGTATTTAATTTTCTTAATTTCATCTATGTAATTTTGATCTCTGAAGTGTTTTCCTGGATCTGATTCTAAAGCTTGGCATGTGTTCCTCACACCCTTCCTCTTTTTCTACCAGTTAATTCCTAATGTGCTCCTTTTTCTTAGATATGGTTATGCCTACTGGTAATATTTTTTTTAAGTAAAGATCTTAGTTAAGAAAGAGTAACTGACCTAGGTCAACTGCATGAAATGTCTTTAAGAATTGCTACTTGTAAACTGTGAGACATTTAGTACAAGTGTATTTTTATTCTCAGAAATTTGAAAGTTGACACTCAACTTTTTCTTATGTAGCCTTTCCTTTCAGTTTATAATAGTCCCTGAAGGAATTGTCAAATAATTAATTAGTTGACCCAGGTTTGTAGTTGAGGGAGTTGCAGGATTCCTTTCTGCTTACTTGTGGAGAGCCTCTTGAGTACTCTAAGCTTTAGACATATGCTGGCATTTAATTTGTCTTGTAGTTTTAAATGTCACATAAAGTTCAAAAAACAGATCATTGCGCTATTAGACCAAGGCCCAAGATGTTTTATCTTCCTAATGGGATAACACAGAGAATCTGGATTTGGGGTTGATCTATGGCTTTGTATAACATGCTTTAAATTTTTTGTTTAGGCATTTTGGAAGGGTTTTCTTTTGCGAAAGAAACTGGCCAGTGCTCTTGCAGCTGTTAAAAGCAATGAAGTAGAGGATGACTATGAAGAAATAAATGTGGATGATTTCATGTTTTATGAAGTAAGCACAATCATTACCATAAAAAAAATATGTAAAAAATAAACATTATTATTATTAAGCAATTGTGTAGCTGTTGGAAATAATAGACCATGAATGGACTACCAGAGCTAGAATTAACGTTTTGGATGTCCAGAAATAAAGAAGCATTTGTTATATATAGCTCATTTAGATGTATTTGTCATGGATTAATTGCTTCTTGCTCTTCAAGATGCTCTGGTAGTTGCCTTGCTGTTAATGTCACACCTACCATTGAATCCCATAGATTTCTACACTTAAAGGACAATCGTGAGAATAAGGAAACAGCTACTTTTGTTCTAAAATGTTTAGCTTTTTAGTATTTTAGTAACAGATTGTAATGTCAACAAAATTTGAGTATGTATTTTGTTCATTTTCAGGATAGACTGAGAACAATAATATATCTGAAAATATAGCTGAGTTTCAATGTTGCGATATTCCAATGAAAGGAACACACACCCAAAACCAGAGGTTAATCAGGCTTACTAGCTCTTCTTTTGTCTTATGGGTATAGTACTAAAACGACTACGAGTCTGAATACAAAGTAAATTACGAAGCAAAATATAGTTAAATTGGGAAAAAAAAATCCTCACACTTAGGTCTGTGATGCATAAAATCCAGACATCATTTCTAGTAATTTTCACAAATTATAGAGTTAATAATGTTCTTTCAGTTTCAAAAGATTTTAACTGGCTCCGAAGTTTCCATTCTAAGAAATAAAAGCAGGCTCCAAAGGAATTGAGGAGTAGCATCACATCCAAAACTGAATTTAGCAATAATTAAGTGAAAAAAAAGGTCTACAGGATCAATATTTTCATTCAGTAAGCAAGAAAAGAATCTTTAAACCAATTTTATCTTATATAGCCTCAAAAGGCATAGTATAAAGGGGAAGTTCAAAACTCAGTAAGCATGGTAAGGCAGCTGTTGATGACTTACCTATGTATTTGTCTGGAACGCAGCTTTCTTTCACTGTTCGCATTTGTTGGTGCCCTTTTTTTTTTTTTTTCTTTTTTTAATGGTTTCAGGTAAAGCAAAGAAAACTGATAACAATTTGGCCTTTTGAGACCTAAGAGGATATGACTGAGGGTTTTTTTCATGAGCCCTTGTCTCTGAATGTGCTTATTCAGCTGCCGCATCTTTGCAAGAGCAATTTATCAATATTACACTGAAGTTTTGCAAATGAGATTGATGTGATAGCCCTGCTACTGGCAGGATTAAATCCTGTTTATGATCACATGTTTGTATGGGTCATAGAGAGTTATGAAACCAAATATGTTGTTAGTTGAAACAGTAGAGTTTACAGTTGATCAGTCTTCAGTCATCTGAGTATCAGCCTTTTTTGCCACTTGTTGGGGTTTGTATGAAATTATTGTCACTGACTTGATGACTTGGAGTAGTTTTATTTTTCTCTTCTACCTTTCAGCAGCTATTTTAACACACTTTTCAGAATTACTGTCTTACTGTAAGACCATGCAAAATGTTTGAGGCAGGAGTCCCAGGAATAATTTGGTAGACAGGAAATGTGTTTGTGTAAACATAGAGATCTGGCTTAAATTTTAGGATTTTTTTTATTTTGTTTTAATTTGGAATATATATACAAAAAAGAACAGTCTCATTAGTTGATGTTCTCTGATCCCTGGCTTCTTTCTAAAATAATAAAAAGCAGAAAGTTGAAGGATTTATTTCTTCACACAGGAAGGAAGTATCTGTTCATATATTAAAGAAGGAAAATATCCTGGTTTGAATTATTCAGTCAGTAGGCCAGAGTCTTATATGCTGTAATTCAATTTAGTCATTCTTGTTTCACTCTGTTTGGCCCAAATAATCCTGTGATGTGTCTTGATATTTTTTGATTTTAATTACTAAACAAAAAACTACGTGGGCAGTTTTATTTCATCTGTCTCTCAGGAGGGCAATCTCATTTGGGCAGGTGCTCCTGAGGCAGAGAGGCTTGCACTGTATCACCCTCTGGTGTTGTCACACAGCTCTTCCTGGTTTGCTTTTTTGTTGAGGTTTGGGTTGTGTTTTTTTCAAAATTGATATTGAGTTTATAAGGAAAGAAATAAAAAATAGGTCTAAGGAGCAATTCTCAGAGAAAGTGTTTAGGTTCAGATGATGACAGGAGACCCACGAGTTGACGTTTTAATTTGCACAGCTGGCTCAAATACTGAACTGGGGACTAATGTCAAAAAAGTTACTCGAGCCCTTAGCTTCTTGTGATGAAAAATGTAAGAACATCTGTTTTCTACAGAGCAGTGTATGTGATAAATTTACAATGGATATGCCCATGAAAGATATACTTTGTTCAGTGAGTGAGCATTTCAGTGTTCCAGATTGATGTCTGTAACTAGACTTATACCGTGCAATATTTGTCTTACCGTTTTTTATTTTTTTTTTTTCCCCAAAGCATATATCTTGTCTGTACTAAAGAGTTTGATTGTGGGAAGTAATGTGGCTTAACTAAAATGGGGCTACACTCTCTTCTGTCTAGCCCAGACTAGCCATTCTCAGTACTAGGTTGCTTGGTGTTGGATTGCCTGGTTCCATGCATCTTTAGCTGTTTCGTTCTCTGCAGCTGGGCAGTACGAAATCACATGGACTTTCTCCATCTGCAGAAATATGCAGCAGAAGCCTTGAACAGTCTATACTGCTTATTCCCTCCTTTCTGTCCTCAGTGTTTCTTTCTGTCCTCAGTGTTTCTTTCTGTCCTCAGTGTTTCTTTCTGTCCCCAGTGTTTCACAGCTGAAGCAAAGCCAAAATATATCGGTGCCTATCTGTTGTGTTTCAAACAAGTATGTAGGGAGGGGTATATATTGCTGGGTCTAAGAGATCCCATATGCTAGGGTGTGAAAGAAGAGAAAAATATCCAGAAACCATTTTGCACTGCAGAATTCAGTTTGGATAGTTCCTCTTTTTACTTCATTTATGCTTGATGAACAGTGGTATATTTTAGCAGAAGTTTGGCACCACATCATGTGAAAAATGAATTGCATGTGATTGACCTGGAGGAAAGGCCTTTATCTTGTTCACATTAGCAGGATTAGTAATCTTTTTACCTGAACGATTACTGGTATCTTGTTGTAGTCACATCATACCTTGCCAAAGACATTCAGAAGCAATTGATGGCAGTAGTGTTTTATGTCTGTTGTGCAGTGTCAAACAGGCTATACCAGATGACATGAAAGATCTGGCCAACATATGTCTCAGAAAGTATGAGTCTGGTATTTAGTGATATTTTCATGTCTTTCATGTGGACTTTGGAGAATTCCACCTTATATGCTCCAGAAGGGTGATCTTAAGGCAGCCTTTCATCAGCAGTCCATCCATGTAGCAAATGATCTACAAGGCGGAGCTCACTTCACCTCTGGTGGACAAAATCTGACAACATATTTGCTTGACACAGTTCTTACTTTCTCTACTGTGTAACCATCAGCATTGTTATTTTCTCAATGTGAATATGGTAAAAGCCAAATACAAAATGGCTGAACTTGCCAGTGTGACAGAAAGCTGAACCATTTAAATATGATCAGTTTTAAGACAGTTTTTTACTCAGAACAATACTGAATAATTTTTTTCCTACACTGAGTCAGCATATGGACATATGTCTTATTCTCATCAAGGTAAGTGCCAGTAATTGTGGTTACATAGCGCAGAATGTAAATACTGTTTTTCTCAAAACATCATTTTTTTTGAATTTGGTTTTAAATCAGGGCTATCTAGTCATACTTTTCAAAAGAGAACGTAACTTTGTAAATTGCAACCAAGCTAAAAAGAAAACTGTCACTGTTCATCAAAGGGAGCAAGTTTGTTTTCCTGAGACATCCTGCTTCTGAGCTTTATTATGTAGAATTTTAAAATCCCAATCTTTTTGAAATTATAGACCAGGAGTTTCCTTCACATTTCCTTCACATTTTACATATCCAAACTCAGATGCATAACCATTCCTTTTTTTTTTTTTTTTTGCTTGCCTTCCATGCAGTTCTCTGTGTTGTTTTCTGGGGGTTCTTTTGTTTTGTTTTTTGGAGGGAGTGCAGGGGGAAGAGGGGAGGAGAGAGAAGAAAAACTATGCTATATATGCTAACTCTTGAAAAGTAAACAGCAATTAGAACAACAATTTCTTTACACCTCATTTTAGTGTTCTTATAACATGTCAAAACTAGACACATGCATATGCAAATATAATCCTTTGTAATGTGGTTTGTCTCAGGCTTTGAGCTTGTGATTGTGGGCTTGTGACAGTGTCAGGGTCCAACTGGAGACTCAGCTTCTCATACCAATCTTTGAGACAATGGACAGCAGGGTCTGATTTCAGATCAGTCTTTTACAGACAGTTTTCTGTCTGTTTTCTGGCTAGTGCCAGAAAATAAGTGTAGCCTATGGATTAGAATATCTCCATAATATTTCTTGTATCTTGACACACTTATACATGTCTAGCTCTTGTAATTGCTTATAAATGTCAGACCAGTATCCAGCCTTTCTGTATGGTATATTGTAGAGATTATGATCCTTTTTTCAGCAAAGTTATGACAAAGTTACAATGTTGTAGAAAAGCAAAAAAGTGTATGATGAAATTTGGTTAGATCCATCCTCTTTAAAAAGGAGGGGAAAAACTCTCTCCTAAGTAACATGTTGGAAGAACAATCTTCTTAGTAAGTGTGTATCAATAATGTCCTAGCATGATCATGCTTCTTCAGCTGCTATGTTAAGGAATTGCATGCCATTCTCAGTCTGTGGCATCATCAGATACGTAAAGACCCTTTTTTACCTCTTTCAGCACTGAGGCTTATTTAAAAAGCTGAAATCTTGTTTTCTAGTTATCTGATAGATATCCTGGGCTTGGAAGTAGATTGCTGCAGTCAGTATCTGATAAAATAAACACAAACACAGCTATTAGGAGTTGTGGCTGTTGCTAGCACTCCAGCTTTACAGCTCATGCAGAATGTGTTCTGACTGCTTTCTGACCTTCCACCATG